GCTGCTTGAGACTGTGTCGGAGTGGTCCCTGAGGCTCCCCAGACTTATCGTCTTGGGGGATTTCAACGCCCACGCTGATGCAGACTCTTGTTCATCAGCAGCTATGGACCTAGTGTCTACCATGGAGACACTAGGACTCTCCCTCTGTACTACTGGGCCCATGCATCGGGCGAGGCACACGTTAGATTTGATTTTCAGCGCAGGAATTCAAGTGACCCAAGCCTCCACAATAGAGGTTCCATGGTCGGATCACTGCGCCCTAAGAGTCCGGTTGGAGCATGCCTACCCACGCTGCAAGGGCGCCGAGCCAATTTGGGCTCGCCCAAGGAGACTTATGGAACCCAGTAGGTTCCGGAATGCTCTGAGGGATCTGGAGCCTGCCAGCGACTCAATCGATGTGCAGGTGGACACATGGAACATCAGGCTATCCAATGCACTCGACGAGATCGCCCCTAGACGCCCTCTCAGACCCCGCCGAAATCGGTCTCCTTGGTTCACCGAGGAACTTCGACTGATGAAGCGGGAAAAGAGACAGCTGGAGGGCATGTGGCGAGAACTCCATGACAGAGCATCGAGATCAGCTTATGAGGCATTCAGGGAATCCTATGAGCATGCTATCACTGAGGCAAAGCGAGTATATTATGCTTCTTTGATAACGTCTGCTAGCTCACGCCCGGCAAAATTGTTCAAAATAATTCGATCTCTAACGACGGTTCCTACCGTCCCAAAAAGTGGTAATCAGGCCCCTCCAGCCGAGGCTTTTCAGAGCTATTTTGCAGACAAGATCTCGCTACTTCGCCGGGACCTCCCTGCCACAATTGATACAGTGAGAGAACTTGAGACCCCGTGGCCACTTGCTGGGCCCATCCTCGACCGGTTCATCCCGCTGGATGCAGGGGCTGTCGATAGGCTCATAGCTGCAGCTAGACCGACCACTTGCTCCCTCGATCCGTGTCCCTCTTGGTTGGTGAAATCCTGCTTGGAGGGATTACGTGACCCTCTGTTGAAGATCATAAACAGCTCCCTTGAGCAAGGAGTCTTTCCAGAGGGTTTAAAAGAGGCGGTGGTCTCTCCTTTGCTGAAGAAACCAGATTTAGATCCCTCGGTTCCCTCCAGTTACCGCCCAGTTTCAAATCTCTCGTTCCTGGGCAAGGTGATTGAGAGGGCAGCAGCGGAGCAGTTGCAGCAATTCCTAGACGACACAGCCGGACTAGATCCCTTCCAGTCCGGCTTCTGTGCGGGGCACGGGACAGAGACTGTGCTGGTCTCCATCACGGATCACCTTCGATGCCAGCTTGACCAGGGCGGGTCAGCGCTGCTTGTGCTATTGGATCTCACAGCAGCATTTGACACAGTCGACCACAATCTCTTGACCCACCGCCTTGCTGTTGCTGGAGTCAGGGGGAGAGCTTTAACTGGCTGTCCTCCTTTCTTCACAACCGTGGACAGCGAGTGGAGAGGGGAGGCCTGGTCTCTGAGAGGTCCCCTCTATCTTGTGGGGTTCCTCAGGGGGCCATTCTCTCCCCTCTGTTGTTTAACATCTATATGCGACCACTTGCTCAGCTGGTTCGAGGTTTTGGGCTTGAGTGTTATCAGTATGCCGATGACACTCAGCTGGTGCTGAAGATGGAAGGCCGACCGGACTCTGTACCCGATTGTTTCCATCAGTGCCTCGAGGCTGTTACTGGATGGCTGCGTGCCAGCAGGTTGAGGGTGAATCCAGCAAAGACGGAGATCCTATGGCTGGGTGGACCGGGCAGTGGGGACATCCATCTGCCCACCCTGGATGGCGAGGCGTTACGCCCGTCATCGTTGGTAAAGAGTCTGGGAGTCCTTTTGGACCCTCTGCTGACAATGGAGGCCCAGGTCTCCGCCGTGAGCAAAACCGCCTTCTTTCACCTGCGGCAGGCTAGACGGCTGGCCCCCTACCTGTCCAGGGACGACCTAGCTACGGTGATCCAGGCCACGGTCATCTCAAGACTGGACTACTGTAACGCCCTCTACATTGGCCTCCCTCTGTCGGTGATTCGGAAGCTCAAGTTGGTACAAAACGCAGCTGCTCGGCTTCTTGCGGGAATTCCGATGAGATGCCACATAACACCAATCTTACTACAGCTGCATTGGTTACCAATTGAGCACCGGATCACTTTCAAAGTGATGGTACTCACCTTTAAGGCCTTGCATGGTCTGGGGCCAATGTATCTGAGGGATCGTCTCACCCCCTACCAACCCCAGAGATCCCTCCGTTCTGAGGACCAAGATCTATTGGAAGTTCCCCAGTGTCAAGACCTTGCGTCTAACAGCAACCAGACGTAGAGCCTTCACAGCAGTGGCACCATCAGTCTGGAATGCTCTGCCACCTGAAGTTCGTGCCCTGCGGGACTTACCCGCTTTCCGCAGGGCATGTAAGACATACCTGTTCCGACAGGCTTTTAATGTTTGATACTGTTGTTTTAAATTGTTTTAAATTGCTTTTAAACTTTGTTAGATTTTAGCTATTCTTGTAAGCCGCTCCGAGCCCCAGGGGAGTGGCGGCATATAAGTTTAAATAATAAATAAATAAATAAATAAATTTCCATAGCGAAAACTGATAGGTCACTGTGCAAACAGAACACTGATAGGCCTTTAGTCTGATCCAGCAGGAGAGAGCTCCCTTTATTTACTATAGCATAATCCACACTTCTGGCTGTTCATGTATGTCTCAGCTTATTCAGCTGCCTACAAAAACTCTTGGCACAATACATTTGCTATTCTTCAACATGTCACAAATTTTGAGTGTGCTACAGCAGACTACTGTATTTGAATACAAACCTGTTCAACCTTGTAGATAGCTTTCTGCAGCTGTTCTCATGCCTCATGAAGCAGAGTAGGCTGCTGACAGCAAAAGAGCCTAAATCCTCTCCAAGCAGAACTGAAAAGTGCTAATGTGGTGTCAGTTTAACTTTAAAAAAAATAAGCCTTTAATATTGTCCTTAGCATTATTATAACATGTTCTATCCTTATCTGCTTCGTGGTTTTTGGGACTACAGCTCATTTAACGCTTTAATCATGCATGTTACAATGTATTACATAGTTATTATGCAACCTCAAGGTGACTTTAACTTACAATTTTCTGGGCAAGATTTGTTCAGATGTCTATAGTAGCAGTTCTCAACATGTGGGTTGCAACCCCTATGGGGGTCAAACAGCTGTTTCACAGGGGGTCGCACTTTGGCTCTTTTTCCTATCTTTCCGCCTCCTCCTCTTCCTCTTCCTCCAGCAGTGCGGGGCAGAGAAGAGTCACGGGGAGGCACTTGGAGGCAGAGGCGCACGCAGGAGAAGGTGAGGCAAGCCCTCGCTCTTCTCCCCCTTTCCTTCCTTCTTTTTCCCTTTTTCTTTCTCTTGCCTCCCTCTTTCCCTTCCTCTCCTTCTCTTTTCTATCCCTTTCCTTTCTTTCCATCTCTATCTCCCTCCTTTCTCTTTCCTTCAGTCTACCCCTTCTCTCCTTCCCTTCTCTTCTATCCCTCACTTTTTTATTGATAATTCTTACTTTTCTTTTTCTATTTCCTCCTCTATCTCCCTCCCTTTCTATCTGTCCCCTTTTCTCTTTCTGTCCCCTCCCTTTCTCTCTCCTTCTCTTGCTTTTTATCCTCCTTTCCCTTTTTCTCTCTTATGCATGAAGCAGAGGCAGGAAAAGGAGGGCACCCCTCCAGTGGCAGCAATGGTGGCAGAGGAAGCCTCCCTGCCGGATCTGGGCCCGGACCCTGTTGCGGTGCTGCTAGTGCCTAGCTCTCGTCGCCTGCTTGGGGGCGGGGGGCTCGGCAGAGGTGCTGGCAGCACTGTAGAAGACGAGGAAGCACCTGTTGTGGCTGCTGACAGTGTACCTGGCAGGCCAGGCTGGGCATGGGCTTCACGGTGGATGGCATGGTGGCTGGCCTGGAACAAATTCTAGTTACATCTGGGAGACTGAACTTCTAAAAATTCAATCTGGAACCAGCTGCATGTAAAGCAGGTGATCTGTTTCTGAGATGTGGTCTTTCGCCCATTACTTTGGAAAAAACATGAAATATTTCATATTGAGAGGTTTCTTTAATGAGGAAAGGAGCAAAGCTTCTCCCCCTTTCCACCATACTGTGCTTAGGCACCTAAGACTAAGTGCAGCCAGGAAAAGGAAAATACCATGCCCTTCAAGATTCTTTCATGCATGTAAAGAAAGAAAAGTGTCTTCATGGTAATTACATGGAGACAGTAGTGGATGGGCATCTGTTGGGTGTTTCCTCCAGGCATGTCCAGGAGAAGCAGTGGTGGTGGGTTGTCCAGAACAGGCAGGTCTGTTGAAGGCAGCAACGTCAATTGTCTCAAGCTGGACAATACAGCCTTCAAGCTACAGCACCTCCTAGCCTGGCAGTCAATCCTCACAGTGGGCACGATCCTGCTGGGCTTCTTTGTTATTGCTTCAACTTCATTCCCATTAGCAATGGCATCATCACCTTCAACAATATCTGTGAGTATGAGATTGATTATATAGGAACAGTCTTTGTAATAAATATTTAAATGTGTCCTGCAACAGTGCACCTTGGTTTTGTATAATTTACTTCACATTGGATCATCCCTTTTGAGAACAACGTGTTAATGTATTATGAGCTGTCCAACTTCTGCAGAACCATCACCTCTATGTAAAGTGTCAGGATTATAGGCAGCTAAATGGAGATAACAGTTCCCTATTTGACCCCAGAAAGGAGTGTAAACTTTACCATATCAGTGAAGATAGGCCTATCATTCTTCATAAACATGGCAGGAAGGACTGACCTGCCAGAACAACCTTTCTCAAGAGGAAATGGCAACCCAAAGTAGAGGACCTCCAATGTCTTTCAGCTATGACTGTTCCACTTTAAACTCCAGAAGTCCAGTATGACTCCTGTCTCATTTTATTACTTTATCAAAAAATGAAGGAATAAAATGTTTTCAGTTGCTTTGTGATTTGAGTTAAAGAGATTCTTATTTCCAAGAAAAGCCAAAAGGATGGAAAATAGATTTATTATAACCACACTGGACAATTTAATGAGCTTGAGCTACATGCCATTTTCATGTTCCCTCCTGTGCTCCACCAGCTGAAATTAAGTTTCCCACTACTTATCTTGAAAACAAACAAATGTTTTTTTAAAAGCATGGTTTAAGACTCAGCACTAATTAAGCAAATGTTGTGAAAAACCTAATTAACAATATAGACAAGTGTATCCCCAATATCAGTAGTCCGTCCGTTCTCGATGAGACGGACCCGTTTCTCTGCTAGGTCTATGTGGAAGACAGCTTGGTCTAAAATGGGGGATTTCTCAGCATCTTCTTTTCCAAGGACAGGAACACGACGAGGGCCCAGAAGAGGGTCATCAAATCTCATGAGTCTCACTTTGGAAAGATCTGAGGGGGAAAGGTTTAAGACAGCATTTGTAAGACAGTAAGATACTTAGCAAGGATGGATGATTTTAACAACACTAGCTTATGTTAGCTGCACACAGACTGCTTCAGCAGTGCTTTGAATGGTATTTACAGGTTGGTATTTAGGCCAGTTGCTTCAAAGCCTGCAAAAGCCCTTAATTCCTAAGGCTTAATTAAAAGGCAATGTGAAATGAAGAATATACATAATGAATGCATTCACATTGTGATGTGCTACGGAATGAGAAAACAAGGGAAGGATGCAAATTCTTCTACGTATGGAGAATTCCTATGTATGAAGAATTCCACAAAATAATCTCTAAATGTGTCTACCCTTCATAAAACAGCCACACTGTGGTAACTGAAGTTTTGCTCCCAAACTGAAGTTTTGCTCAAGGTTACCCAAAATAAGCTGGAAACACCCCCTTAATATTAGCTACAATGACAGCTTTGCCCATCTAAAACAGGGGTGGTTGTTATGGGAGGCTAGTTAGCTGCTGTGAACCACAGCACTTTGCAGTGTTAGAATTGATTCTGACCCAACAGGAGCAAGAATTTTTAAAAAATGATTTTTTTTCCTTCTTCAATCTCAACCAAAAGTCCCTTCTAATAAAAAATGGGCCTCCTATTCTGCAAAGTAAAGAGGCACTTCCAATGTCCTGGAACGCTGGCTAGTGACAGGTAGTCAGCCAGATGGTGGCAATCAAACTCCTTGAGCTACAGATTCTTCTGAGCTGAATTTAAAAGTGCCGTTTCAAAAGTTTTAAAAATATTCTGACACACTCCTTATGTATCATTGCCAGTAGGCAAGAAGACAGCTTTCGGTTGCATGTCATGCCATTCTCTTACTAATCCAATGGAAAATTTGACAACATCCTGTCATGTGTATATTTGTTTTAATGATACTTCAGGCTATATAAATATGTTTTGTACTGCAGCATTCAATATTTTTTGAAGTAACTGAAAAGTAATACTTATTCTAGAAAAACAGTAAAGTGAAGAGCTCTTGTTTTTGTTGTCTTCAAGTCATTTCTGTCTTAGGGCAACCCTAAAGTGCACCTATCCCAGGGTTTTTTCATGGCAGGATTTATTCAGAAGGGCTTTCTGAGACAGAGAGGGAGTGTGTATGGCCCAAGGTTACCCAGTGGGATTCTATGGCCAAGTGCAAATGTGAAATCTGATCTCCAGAATCATAATCCAATGCTTAAACCACTTTACCACACTGGTTTAAGGAAACAGCTTATAAGAAGCTCCAAACACAACAGTAACAAAAACCAATTTTGAAAAGTAATGTTCTATTTTCACTGTTTTAATTGAAGGATAGACCCATTTGGTGGGGCTGGCAGCCAATCCGCACACCTGAACACAATGCAGCTCCCCATGCTCCCCAAAATGAAACAAAAGACCTGGAAATCCATGTCCAGGGTGTGATTATTTAGGTGAGCTTTATTGGGCCTACAAAACTGGGCAGGGTCAACAGGAAATGGCCCACCTGTTTTTAGTGATATTTCTATGGATCAATTTCCATTGATATAGAGAGCCATGCTACTTGAATAGTGAAAATACGCCCAAAATAAACAAAAAGATTTGGACAGCAATGTGGAAACTACTATTTAGGCACCTTTTACATAATTTACATAAATACCAGAAAAGCCTAGATAATCAGAACATTTTGGCAGCACACTGAATGAGAGGGGGGAAAAACCCCACAAGAATACCAGTCTGGTACAGACACATCTGTTTCGTTAAAAGATTGTCATTATCACACACAATTATACCTTCCCTACCCAGCAAGATAAATGACATCAAACAAACTGCATAACTTATCCACCAGAATACCTCCTATTCATTACTGAAATTTTATGATATATTCCAACAGAGGAAATGCGTTGCCACTCTAAATATTTGGACCTATCATTTACAAAATCACTGGTTATACTGTCCGAAGATTATGGGAGCTAAAGTTCAAAAGCATCAGAGAGCTACAGATTTCACACAATGTTGTTACCTCCCATCCCACTTGTTTTTTTTCAGGCTTGTTTGACAACCATCCTGGTTCAAATGTGGCTGATAAACAAGTATGGCAAACAGACTCATTAATATTATAAATTTCAGGAAGAATAAAGCACTACACATAAATCATTTTAAAGAAAATATTGGAGAAGATACATCAAAACCCATGGAGGTTATTTCCCTTCAGGACTAAGGGTTTAAGACACAATAAACCTTTCTCCATCTCCTATCTAATTTCCTCCTGTTACCTTCTGTCTCTCATTTCTCTCTTATGTTCCTCTTTTACCGTACTAATGTCTGCGAGCCCTTCCACACAGCCCTATATCCCAGAATATCAAGTCAGATAATCCCATAATATCTGCTTTAAATGGGGTTATATGAGTCCACACTCAGAAAATATGGGATTTTCTGCCTTGATATTCTGGGATATAGGGCTGTGTAGAAGGGCCCTAAGGTTCCTTTCACACAGCTCTATAAAAACCCCACATTATCTGTTGAATTGGATTATATGGCAATGTGGACTCAGAAAACCCAGTTCAAAACAGATATTGTGGATTATCAGCCTTGATATTCTGGGTTATAGGGCTGTGTGGAAGGGCCCTAACATATGAATGAAAAGGAAGGCACAGGAAGGCTATATAGCTTCCATGCTCCTGTCACAGAAGGGAATCTACTGGGGATTTTTATAATGTGCTTTACTGAAAACTAGAAAGGGTTTCAATAAAAAGAATCACAGTTGTCTCATTAGATGAAGCTGCCTTTAAAAAAAAAAGAGCCCTTTTAAAAGTTCAAACAAATTCCCAGCGAGAAGTGAAAAGCAGAACTTTTCCTAATGAGACAGGCATTTTAGCCTGTTGAAGTTGCTTCTTTTTCACCACTAGCTTTTATCCGACAATCTTTTCAAGTGCCTACCTAACAGTGACATCTTCTGGAAACAACAATATAAAAGAATTACTGATTTGCTCTCAATTGCTTTTCATTCACCTCGAACAATCACGTTGTGGATCTCCCGTAATTGCCTGCCCAAATCTGAAACATGTTTTAGACACTATTTTTGCTTTGCAAGACAAGTTATGTATTTCCTCCTCTCAGCTCTTTTGTTGAAAACACTGCTTCATAATGTAATATAAAAATTGTCTCCTTCCCAAGATCAAAACACACAAGCCGTAAGAAGTGATGAGGAAAATAAATTATCTCTCCCACTTGGAGAGTTTAAACCAGGACATAATTTTCTCACTTGGCCCATAACTGCTGGAATCAGCAAAGCCACCGAGAAAACAGGAAATTATCTCTGCTTTTTAAAGGGAATTCTGTCAACTCTCTTCAGCTCAACAACCTAGTATTCAAGTTGATGTCTTCCCCACTTTAAGGAGAAGGATAAAATGTCAACTGAATGAGGCCATTAGCAACTGGCTAATAGTCAGGAACTCAGAATGCTCAATTTGGAGACTTACTTCAAAACAAAAATGGAAAACCAAGAGAGCTGCCTTCTTAGAAAGCAATTGACTCCTGCTTACCAACCAGTTTTGTAGGAGATCACATACACCTCTTTTCCCTTTCTAGCAGGAGGAGCACAAGTTTTGCCCTGAGGGTCCAGGCACTTATCCAAACAATACACATTATTAAATCTGAGTTATTCACATACCACCATGCACATGCCACTGCAAGCGGAGACCATGTATTACATATTTGAAATGGTCTCATAATAAAAATACACCCTGAATTTTCTGGCTCTCCAGAGAATCGGACATGGAAAAAGGGATTCAAAATTTGAGGAAAAGAGATTCCATCAAAACGTTTGGAAGAATTTCATGACAATAAGAGCTGTGTTGTCAAAGGCTTTCATAGCCAGAATCACTGGGTTGCTGTGAGTTTTCCGGGCTGTATGGCCATGTTCCAGAAGCATTCTCTCCTGACATTTCACCTACAAATTAGATATTATCTTTACAGCATAAAGACTGTATTACAGTCTTTGGGATTATGTTAATTTTAAAAATTGATATTTATTGTGCCCCACAATGAGTGAGGGAAAATATTTTAATAAATGAACAATTTTATTGTGCACCATCCTGAATGTGAGGTACATATTTTAATATTTTGGTCAGCAGAACTGTTTTGGGGTTTTTGTGAGTGGATTCTTCGATTCTGCAATAGACCCTTATGAGCTACATTTTGAACACAAAGCACAATATCTAAGATTAAGAATTAGGGTAAGGTCACAGGGCAAATAAAGAATGATGGCAGAGCAGTTTTCAAATTCCAGAAAATCTCAAAATTCTTACCTAACAGAAATAATAATTCCATCCTTATAAGTAAAAGTAAATCTGTATCGTATTTGTATTGTACTGAAACAATCTAAAATTACAAATTGGATTACAACCTTTACTGATGAGAGGTAGTCTGTAAAAGCTGACTTAACTTCCACATTGCATGCTAGAAAAATATGCTTCTCACAGCAGCTGAGGATATCAAATCAGGCTCTTGAGTAAGAAAGTGCCTCTGCTTTAATGCTTTTCTGCTGCAAGTCATTACTACCTGTGAGTCTTAAGTGCTTTCAGAGAGATGGAGCTAATACATCCTACCTAGAATAGGACACAGGCTGAAATTTAAGACTTGAAAATAATGCAGTTCACATATCAGAAAAAGTGTGGGTGGAGTAGGAGTGTAAGGCTCTTGGGACTTGTAATGGATTAATGCATCTTTCACAGTTCAGTCATGGACTCAATCTCTGCATAAACTGGGAAGAATGAGCAGCAGTGGTGAATATCAGAAAGGAGAGTGGGGTTCAGAAAGTAACACCCCTAGATTCAGGACTCAAATGTACTGTAAGGTTTAGGACATGCCTCTTCAACCTGCAGCCCTCTAAGTTTTTTAGACTTCAGCTCCCAGATTTCCTGACCATTGCACAAGCTGGCTAGGGCTTCTGAGAGTTGGAGGCACAAACACTTTGAAATGGCCTGGTTTGAGATTTGCCAACAGTTAACTTGGCACTGGGTCTGGCTCTAACCCTTTCTCTACAGATCAAGGTGCACTGCTCAATCAATACTTCAGACCAGTGGTTCTCAACGTCTTGACTTCAACTCCCAGAGCTCCTGAGAACCAGCCACAAAAACACCTAGTACACTGGTTTTCAAACTTCAGTCCTCCAGATGTTTTGAACTTCAGCTCTCAGACAGATTAGCCAAGTTGGCCAAGAGGCAGGAATTTTGGGAGCTGAAGTCCAAAATATCTGGAAGACCAAAGTTTGGGAACCACTGATCTAGAGGATGGTTGCCATGACAGCAGGGTAAGATGATGATCGGGGTTGTTGAAAGCCGCTCACTCACAGAGCTGCTATAAATCATAGCCAACTTGATTCAATGAACAACAAGAACAAGTTGCTTGTGGTAGAACAGGGCTAAGACCTAGACATACTCCTGATAATGTTACTGGGACTAAACTATGTACAGAAATAATGCAATTTCTTTACTAATGTATTAGAAAATAATTAGTTGATGTAATTCTGAATCAACATAGTCACAAGTAGTACCGAATGAATATCACTTTAGAAAGGTAAAGGTTGTCACCTGACATTAAGTCCAATCATGTCTGACTCTGGGGTGTGGTGCTCATCTCCATTTCTAAGCCGAAGAGCCAGCATTGTCCATAGACACCTCCAAGGTCATATGGCTGACATGACTGCATGGAGCGCTGTTACCTTCCCGCCGGAGCGGTACCTAATGATCTACTCACATGTGCATGTTTTTGAACTGCTAGGTTGGCAGAAGCTAGAGCTGACAGCAGAAGCTCATGCCACTCCCCGGAATCGAACCTGCGACATTTCGGTCAACAAGCCCAGTAGCTCAGCGCTTTAACCCACTGCGCTACCGAGGGCCCTCGAATATCACTTTATTCATTTAATAAAACATAAATACACATAAATTCATAAGTAAATAAAGAATAAGTATATATTTCAAATGATCAACGATACAATTGGACAACAATTTTAGTAAGGAGACACCGAGGATTTTGTTTTTTACAGACGTTATTGTTTCTTTTATATTACATTTTAAATGTTGAATTGTTTTTATAATTGTTTTAACTGTATTTTGATAATTGTTATGGCATCAAATCGCTGCCGACTGTGATTCGCCTCTGGCTGAGAAAGGCGGATTACAAATGCAGGAAATAAATAAATGAATAAATAAATAAATAATCGAGACTGCCAGATAATTATTCTGAGGCTAGATAATCATCCCCCCACTGGATATATGAAATAATTCTTCAAGCTCTAAAATAGGTTGACTTGTCACCTTGCCAACTTTTACAGAAAGGTGCCATGCCTCTTTCTATTGAAACAAGTATAGTAAGTATACAATTGGTCTCTGTTGGAAGAAGAGACTTCTAAAGTAAGGTCCATGCAAGAGGTACTATGTTGGAAATGTATTTGATTAGCTCCTGATGAACTTCAGGTTGACACCGATTGTAAAATATGTTCTGCTGCAGTAATGCTGCAGACAAAAAGAATTGTTTCATTCTTCTTCTCCTATAAATTACATTCATAAAGAGGCGACACCAAGAAAACAGGAAAATAAATGTTTTACTATCACCTAACTGGACAAGCCACCTTGCAATAATACTAACCTCTAGCTGACTTCAGTACAAATGTGACTTTGTTACCTTTGATTCCTCTGTCCATCTTCATCAAACGCCTGATTATTGTATCTCTACCATCTCCTTGCCTGACTTCAATTTTTGTAGAGAAGTGGCCATTTGCTGGTTGGGGATTTACAAGAAAGACAGACACACCAGGCTGCAAGAAAATAAAAAGATAGAATTATTTATTATTTATTTACTTACTTTATTTATACCCTTCTCTTTCTCACCCTGAAGGGGACTCAGAGAGGCTTACAGATTGTGGCAAAATTAAATACTGCATTATACATACAATAATAAATATAACATAACATATCAATTTATAAAACTGCTAAAGAATATAAATACAATAAGACAGATTATTGTAAAGCATATACTGTAAATACAGTAAAACAGATTTGTTATACTAATGTATTAGGATAACAAAAGGAAGAAAATAAAAACACAAATGGAGGAAAATAAGCATATGAAATGATATAGGTTGAAATACAAGTCAGTTCATGAATTTTGTCTATCTGCCATTCTTTCAAATTGGAAGCATTATTAGATCTTAATAGAATTTATTAGAATAAATTCAGCAACACGTGGAACACTAGCCAGTTTGACAGAGGAAATGGAGAACTAATGGGGCTGTGTCTAATGGGTGGATGTTTGCTGGTTCAACAGCAGAATTGGGGGGGGGGGGTGGCTTCCTTCCCAATTCAATTCTTTATGCATTCCCAAGATAGCTCTTCCTCCCCCTCCCCAAAAAAATAGTATTCACGACAGCATCCATATTTCACCTCTATTCATATTGTGAAGATGTTTAGGCTAAACTGGTTTGTGGCAACTTGGGGCCATCCAGATGTTGCTAGGCTGCAACTCTTGCCCTACTGAGTTTTACAGCTGAGTAGACAGGTGAAACCAGGTCTCTCTGATTCTACTTTTGATTCACTTACCAGTTTTCAAATGTAGGCTTGACAGTTCTGTTCCACTGAGGATAATCAATATTTACATATGGACAATAAAGGAGTGAGTGACTAGAGTTCTACCAACAAAGGCCAATATTGATAGGCATTTTCCTCTCTTCCCAACATGGTGTGTTCAATATTCTACACATATACTCTGGCAATGAAAGTGAATCTCACATCAAGCAATATAAAAGGTATTCTTATTACAGAATCACACTGCTATCATACCAAGAAAAAGGGAAACGACCCACCAAGAGATGAATCTGTCCAGATCACTGATGTAAATTTAGACTTATTTTGCTGCAGGCAAGAACAACTCATTTGGGCAATTTTCTCCCTCCTCCAGAAGAACAGTAGACCATTTTAAAGCAATATTTGTATTTTGAGACTTTTGGGGAGAAAATTCATTTCCTCAAAAATACACTTGGAATTTTCTTTTTATACTAATTCCTGTGGGAAAATATTTTAAAAGTTGCATCTTGAGAATTCACTGCAAAGGGGGCAACAGCTGGTGCTTCTAACTGGAGATTGGGTTAGTAGCCCCAGTAAAATGCCTAAATTACTTTCTCTCATGTAAAGGAGCCACTTACATTGTCTTGGTCTTGTTCAGGGTATAATGAAGGAATGCATGCACTTGGGGATAGAGTCACAGTGGAGGCAAAACCAGAAAAACAGTGCTGGGAATAAACATGCAAACTTACTTCTACCCTGAAAGTGCAGAAAGGCTTTCCAGGACAGCAGTCTTCTTTAATTTTCTCATCTCCTTCTGAAGCAAACTTCAATTCTATGTGTTCCAACTATGAAGAAAAAGAGATAAAATGTCCACATAATGAACGAGCACTAGAATCCAATAAACCATTCATTTGGAGCAAGTTTGTGATGATCCTTATTGTAACACAGATCAAACGTACTGCTGGATGGAAGTGCTCAGGACAAGCCCAAATTCTTTCCTTGTTATTTAAATATGCTTTAAGCTTTTGCCAGTAGATCTGACTTACAGCCAACTATCACTGCGTTTGAAGAAGGAATCTTGTTGAATAAATAATTTTCACTAAAGTAGCTGATCAACCAATCCTTCAGTTCATGTCAGGAGCGGCATGAGAAACTGCAAGTCACTTCTGCCATGAGAGAATTGGCCATCTGCAAAGGCATTGCCCTGGGGATACCCGGATGTTCGATGTTTTACCATCCTGTGGGAGGCTTCTCATGTCCTGCATGGGGAGCTGGAGCTGACAGAGGGAGCTCAACTTGCTCTCCCCAGATTCAAACCGCTGACCTGTCAGTCAGCAGCCCTGCACCACCTGTGAGAACAATATAAGCAGGTAGCTCAAAAGGATGGTTTGCTGCCCCAGTCCTTTCCCAGCCATTGACATTTTCAGTCTTGAACTACTAAGCTAAAGCTAAACTACCTAACAAAGCTGCTAAATACATATTAACCTTTGCTATGCCTCTGGACAATTGTCAATATGTAGTCATCATGCCAACAAAGACTCTAAAACCCATCTGTTTGATCAGTGATACTAACTGCCCAAGTCCAGTTTTGAATATTTCCAACATTCAGGCTGTCAAGGAAGAGCAGACCATCACAAACCTTTCTACCCCCTTTCCCCACACACAACCACTAAGCCTTGGACCAAAATTCTGAAAGTTTTAACACTGTTCGATTTCTAAATATTTGTGAGCAAAAACATAATTTGGGGTGCGGGGGGGGGGGGGGGGAATCAAGGACTGAGGCAACTGTCTTTTAGGATGCTTAATTCTTAATAGAAACTCACCTCCAAAGAATTTGTTAGATAGACTATGTTCTCCCTGAGGACGGCCCTCTCGTCAAATTCCAGTTCCAGATCAAGTACACGGGGCCCTTTCTTCTCCAGATTTTCCTGTCATAGCAAAAGTCAGGAAAGCATGTTTTTTAAATTGGATCTTTGCTGTAAAACTGAATACCATACCTGAGTGGAAAAGAGTTTTGACAGACTTCACTGAGGATGAGAAATGGGTCCCTAGCAGAGCCATTACATTTTACAGAAGGATGGCAGCTCCTGTCATTGAACAGGAAGGCCGCCAAAGCTGTAGCATTTTTTTTGTCTCACAGAACTTGTTAAAAAGCAAACTTTAGATGATACTTTTATTCCTTCCTTTATAGCAGTAGTTCCCAACCTTTGGTCCTACAGTAGTTTTATATCCCAGCCAACTTACTAGCTGTTAGGAATTGTGGGAGCTGAATCCCAAATACTGGAGAACCAAAGGTTGGGAACCACTGTTTTATAGCTAGATGGCTCACAGGACCCAGCCTGAGGTCTAAACCACATGAACCTTTTTTAATCCATTGAATTTTCTATCATCTCTGAAGACTCCAAAAAGTGTGTGACTATAAGTTACTTCTGTGAAGAGATGAATACAAAGAGTAAATCAACATCATGCAGTACTTTAGCTAAGTGAGAACACAGACAACTGCTTTCTTCCTAAGTTTAATGACTTTGGCTCAAATGCTAAACTAGGATTGTGGGAGACAAGGCTTCGAATCGCTACCCAGCCACAAAAACCCACTGGATGAACATGGGCACAAGGATATCGGCCTCAGAGGAAATCAACAGTCAGGGACCACTGAACAAACATTGCTGAAAAAAATACCTATAGCTGATGAACCACATATTTCTCATCCAGGTGGGAAGGTAACCTAGGAACAGAGATCTGTCACATCAAGTGAGCAGAACATTGTTTCAGTACTGAGTTTGGCAGGAGATGAGAGTGTCAGAGGTGGTCAGCCTGGAATTCAGATGAACTGTAACAGTGTTCCGAAATCTAGTAAGTTTGGCTCAAGAAAAGCAAACAGTGACGCTGAGATTAAGTAACAGCTGTCTTCGCCATCTGTCTTTCTTCTTAAGCGTTGTGCTTCAGCAAAAAAGGACAGTTTTAATGCTGAACTGGTGCAAGATGGCATGTCTGAGACTTATGTAGCCTGACAGGACTAAGCAATCTCTAAATGAAGGATACTCCCTCTTAGACTTTTTAGAAGTTCTCAGCATAGTCTTCTCTACAGTAGGGATGGGCAACTCTTAGATGTGAGGGAGGCCAACACTGACATCCTGTAATGTGCTGCCATTCACCGGACATCTGTATGTCCCTCCAAACCTAACAGTGACTGGAAATTGATTTCTAGGCCTGGTTTATTTTTTAACTGAAGATACATCTCTGCAGTTTGCTTCAAGGGAGAATCACCACTCAAGCAGGTTTCCAGAAATGTGTGTCTTGTCGTGATTAAATATAGATAGATAAATAGATAGATAGATAGATAGATGATTGATAGATAGATAGATAGATAGATAGATAGATAGATAGATAAGGGGGTGAAAGATGGCGGGGACTGGATGTGTCTCAGAAGCTGAAGCTGCAATGGGGGGGGGTTAATGGGGGGGGGAGAGAGAAGCAAGTACATACAGCCCACCCTATTACACAGAAGCATTGGATTAATTGCTAGCACCATTGTGCCTTCAATTCTAGCAGCTGCAGAAAGGCCCTTCCTCCATCCTAATTGCCATTGATTTTTGCCCTAGGGTGGAAGGATCATAAGAAATGGGATATAAAAACTTGGTATAAATATCTAGCTGACTACCTCCTCCAATACTATATTAGTGAAAGGAAAAGTTAATGCAGGATGGGCCAAACCCAGAAAGACCTGAGAGGCAAAATGGAAAGGTCTCATTTTTAGAATAAGGGGGAAAGATAGCTATAAGGAATTAAGTAAGACTATACTCATGATTGAACAATTATAATAAGCATAGCAAGAGTAGTAAACTGTTGCTGGGTGGGGCGGGGGGGGGGCGAAGAAGGGGAAATGATGTAAAACGGGATATAAGATGATGACCCTTAAACGGACGGTTATGTATAAGACTAATAAGACTCTGAGCTTCAGTCAATTTATTTGCATTGTGTTTAGACTATAGAATAGACGGCGAAACCAAAGGAAAATGATTAAACGCTCAAAAATACAGAGGTATACATATTCAATCATATTCCTGTACTTTATATTATGTAAAGAGAAGTCAGGGGTGTAGGTTCACAGGTGGGAATGGGGAGGAGGTGGGACTAGGGAAATAATACTTGTATTTTGATTGTTTTTGTTGTTGTTGTTGTTTTTCATGTCAGCAGCGACTTGAGAAATTGCAAGTTGCTTCTGGAGTGAGATAATTGGCCGTCTGCAAGGACATTGCCCAGGGGACGACCTGATGTTTTTGATGTTTTACCATCCTTGTGGGACACTTTTCTCATCTCCCCGCATAGGGAGCTGGAGCTGACAGAGGGAGCTCATGATCGCTCTCCCCAGATTGTTCAATTTCAAAGATTGTGTGTTTCTATGTATGTATATATATATATTAAAAAATTAATCTTCCAAAAATTGCCACTGATTTGGCCTCTGAGGGAGAGAACAGCAGTCAGCATTTGCTGAATTTAATCCTGCCATGCCACACCATGCCCTTGTCCTTGTGCCTGCTTTATACTGTCAGCCTGCAAGCAGGGTATGATGCTCTAAATTACTGGTAACTGACTAAATAAATAATATAATAGATCTCAAGTTATCCTCACCTGTGAAACTTCATCTCACTAGGTTGCTAACTATATACATGACCCAGTGACACACATATTATGAAAGTATTCTTACAAAATTCCTGTTTTGTATATCTTAAGTACATTCTTCTAACAGGCCTAATGTGCACCAGTTGCGCCCGTACCTTGGGAAGTCTGATCTGGCCACAGTGGTCCACGCTCTTGTCACATCCCGAATAGACTACTGCAACGCGCTCTACGTGGGGTTGCCCTTGAAGACTGTTCGGAAACTTCAATTAGTCCAACGAGCGGCAGCCAGATTACTCACCGGAGCGACATTCAGGGAGCATACCACCCCCCTGTTATGTCAGCTCCACTGGCTGCCGGTTCAGTTCCGAGCACAATTCAAGGTGCTGGTTTTGACCTACAAAACCCTGTACGGTTCCGGTCCAGTGTATCTGTCCGAACGTATCTCCCTCTACGTCCCACCCCGGAGTCTGAGATCATCTGGGGAGGCCCTGCTCTCGACCCCACCACTCTCACAAGTGAGGCTGGTGGGGACGAGGAGCAGGGCTTTCTCAGTGGTGGCCCCTCACCTGTGGAACTCACTCCCGGGGGAAATCAGGGCATCATCATCCCTCCTCTCCTTCAGGAGGAGGGTGAAAACGTGGTTGTGGGACCAGGCCTTCGGGCAATCAGGCAATTAAAAGACAATCAGGTGAATAAGATCAACACGATTGATGAAGTGGAATGGAAAACTAGAACTATGAGTTAGCAATCGCTGACCTTGTAAGAGAGGAACTGGGTTTGTATTGGTTTTTATTGATTTTATTGATATATGAATTAGTGTGATGTAATTGTGTAATTGTTTAACTTTGTGTCTTGATTGTTTTGTACTGCAGGCATCGAATCGTGCCTTGCTTCTGTAAGCCGCCCTGAGTCCCCTTCGAGGTGAGAAGGGCGGGGTAAAAGAACCCCAAATAAATAAATAAATAAATAATGTGCTTTAGCTCATTCATACTGCGGCAACACTTTGTCACTAAGCCTTTTTAAGCAAAACCATAAAAAGAAAGAAGTAATTCAATCATTCCTTCCAGTTATAAGACATCTTGTTCCATTTCTCAGGAGATAAATGACTGTGCCATTATGACCTCAACCTATGCCCAAGCATGGGGATCAATGCTACAGCTTTCAACGTAAAAAGATCATTCACATTGATAACAGTGAAGTGAATTTTTCATTCCTAGCAACCACGTTAAATGAGATCACATTAATACAATTTTCATTTGAATCCTGAAGGGCCCAATCTTAGAATTTGTCTGACTGATTCAGAGCTTGGTAATATTACCTCCACCAACTAGTATGGTCGCTGGTGGTTCTAGCTGGGCTTTTTCTGGGAGATAGTCTTATCATTTCCAAACTCTGGACTGAAACCTTCAGACACTATTACTTACCACTACAACCTGTCAGATCAGTTAATGTTTAAACTCAAGGCACTCTTCTATTAGGAACACAAGAGTAGACAGTCAAATAGGAAATGGTTTAAAATTGTGTGATAATGACAGTTTAATGGAGGACATTGACCTATTATCAGGAAGTATTTCTTGCGTTCTTAAAGGCATAGCGAATTGCATAAATCATTCTGCATGGCTAGCAGTAGACATGCTGGCAATCAGTAAAAACATCCTTACGAATAATGACCCAGAACTATCAAAATGATCGTAAAACATCCAAATGGCACCCCCTTGACACTCCCCTTCAAAGACCACCTGCGTTCTGCAATTATCTTCCTCCAAATCCCCTCCAGCTTATAAAACATTTCATACACTGAGATTCTCTTTAAGTTTTGTGTTTCATTTCAGTTTAAACATTTGTACAATTTCTTGAGAAGTGAGAGTTGCATTAATTTAGTAAACAGGATTGCTACTGAAAGATGCAAAGCAGAAAAAAGGAAAGGCTGACCTTAATCATGGCAACGAAAGGCATAACCCTTTTCATGTACTTCTTCAGTTCTGGCAAAGAGTTTAGTTCACTGGAAATTATTTTGTTGTCTGGTAGCTGCCCTCCACTAGTCTATCACAGAAGACACAAGTGTTTCAATTACAACATGACAAGACAGTTCTAATTTGAGAATTCAAGACATAACACCCTTCATTTTACCTTCTGTCACAGAATAAGCAATTTGGTTTTGTAATCCTCTGCCTTAAGGTTATCATTCTTATATATGACACATACATTTGCATGAAATCCATCTCTCCCCCCCCCCCCTCAGGAATTCCTTGGACTCCAGTTATCTGTAAACACTGCTTTTTAGAAAGCTTCTCTAATGAATAGGAGAAAAACAACACAAATAGCACCACATTTTATTTTGTAAATCCCATTTTTCTGTATGTGGCTATCCTAAATTGTTTCAGAACATTACTTCTTTTAGACAAAAAGTCATCTATCAAAATGAGCACAGCTCAACAATTCACAAAGGACTCAATAAGACTCCTTGCTCTAGCTAGTGGCCAGGAATTACAGAATAGGAGAGGGAAGGAAACACTTTAATCTGCATAATTTCTCTGCAGTCTCAGTAATGCTGGATACATCTTCCCCTCTCTTATATGCCAGATATGTAAATTATGTGTGTGTGTGTGGGGGGGGGGGGGGTTCACAACCCTATGTCAGAGGTTTGATGTGAAAATAAGAGAAGGGAGAACCAACTATGGGACCCTGTGCAATTTGGAAGAAGGGTAGATTTTATACAAGTAAAAGAAAAAAAGAAATAATAGTCCTACAGTAAATTGTGCTATAACATGTCTTTTTACCATGCAAATTGGCAATAACACAGTTAGTTAATAGAGGAATACTACTGCAGAACACAAATTCTTAATTGGCTATAGAGTAATTCCAACCTCAACATTCAAAACTGGCACTTCTCTGCATTTCATTTGTTCAGCAGCAACTCTGCCTCCCTCTGTCTTAGCCATTCAGTTTGCTACCTTGAGGGACTGGATGAGGTGGATGGAAGAAGTAGGAGTGTTTGTGAGGGATGCGATTTTAAATAGGGTTCAGAGGAATCGGGTTCAGAGGAAAGTGGGTGGAAAGGAGTACGGTAGCATTTGCAAGCCAGCAAAGACAGACCAAGAACGAGTGAAGTGGATGGAAGGAAGGGTAAAGTATTGGAAAGGAATGATATTTTAAATTGGGCTAAAGTAAAGTGGTAGGAAGAAGGAAGGGAGAGGGAACAGGAGTAAGTGAGGTGGACAGAAAGATGGGTGGGAGCATTTGCAAGGGATGAGGTTTTAAACTGGGACGGAAGGAGGTGGATGGAAGCCAGGGATGAGATGATAAGGAAGGACAGAGATGGGTGAGGTGGATGGAATAAAAAGGTGATGCCGTTTGTAAATTATTATTATTATTTATTTATTTATCAGGTCAGAAGCAAGTTGAGGATAGTTAAAATGCATTTAAAAACACAAAGTTTTTTTAAAAAAGAACTTGGCATTATGCTAAATGTCCTTTGACCAGAGGCTGGCCACTTTATTTTTATATCCCACCATCATCTCCCCAAAGGAACTCAGGGTGGTTTACATGGGGGCCAAGCCCAGTATAAATACAATTTACAAGCTAAAACTCAATTTAAAAACATAATAATATATAAACAATCTAAATTAACACAATTAAAACCAGCAAAGTATAAAAACATCATAGAATCTATCAAAACCAACCTCAACCACCAGTAATCAGAGTATTGTGGGCATAATCAGATTAAAGAGGGCAGGGCAAGGACTTGTGAAAGATGCAGACCATAGGGCTGAGGGTAACATAATGGATAAACCCGATCAGTGAATTAGGCCTGGGCAATCATGATCAGGGGCTAAATCATCATTCAAAAGCAAACAGGAACATCCAGGTTTTCAAGTCCCTGCAGAAGGCAGACAGAGTGGGGGCTAATCTAAGGATGAGATTTTAAAATTGGACAGGAATGAGTGAGAGGGAGTGAGCCTTTGCAGAACATCTGCCTGAGGCTCATTGGTGCCAAGGTGCAGCAAGTATTATTAGAAGTTTAAAGTGTGTTGGGGGCGGGGGGGGGGGGGGGGGGGGTGAGGAGAGAGAGAGGGAGAGGGGGAGAGAAAGAGATGCCTCTTCACTTTTCACGGAGGCATGCTCCAGAGCTCAAGGGGGGGGGGGGGGTCCTACTTTGCTCATCCTTTCCATAAATATGTCACCTCATTTTTTTTCAAGATTCACAATTTCTATTTACAATTACAATTTATTCACTAAAAACTGCAAATAAAATATATATTTTAGCTAACAGTAATATTTTTGAGGTCTCCACCTAACCCTATTTCCCCCATAAGTCCTGATATTTTAAGGAACATGACTATTGTATTACAGGACTGCTTAGTATACAGTACCATACAGGCCCATCTTGGATGGCACTACATGTCCAATTTGGCTTCTCAATCTTTGTGTGGTTTTATCCGCTGCCAAGAAGAATGTGTCTTGGCTCCTCAACCACCACTGCTGTTTATGTTAACATGTTCATGAAACTTCCTTTGACAGGAATCCAAAAATATATGGGAACTGCTCATTCAGTTCAGGTAATAAAATCCAGATTTTCTCTCTCCAATTTGAATTGACGGCAATGAGCACCAAATTACAAAGACAAGCTTGTTTCCAATTAAAAGGAAATTAATTTAACTGCACTGCTATAGTTGGAAAATACACAGTGAGTCCACAAATCAAGTCACACATTCCGCTGTTTCAGTCAAACAGCTCTATTGTTCCTGGGCAACAACAGTTAAAGATCAGTTCCAGCAGCTCAAAAATTCAGGGGACTCCTTCTAATAAAGCCAAATTTCTTTGCAGAGGGTTAGTTATAAGACAGACAAATGTATTTGAGCACTAAGGCATATCCTACCAAGCCAAAGAATTATAATTCTCCAAGACTAGTGTAAAGTGTTGAGGCTGCTTGCCTAATAAGGCAAGCTGTCCTAGCCTGACAAAAGCCAGCAATTCTGCAGCACAATTGGGGCTGAAGTAAACAGTTTACTAAGCTCTGCTTGAGCAAAGGATTAATAATAAACTGAGGCCACATTCTATTTCCAAATTGTCCCTGGAAATGAAATCATGAAGGAAAATTGATAATGCACGCTGCAATTCCTCCACAAACCTATTAAAGAAAAGGAAAAACATATTTCTCCTCTTGGACAATGAACCTGATGACAAGTCAGTTTTATATCTGATGTGGGGTTGGTAGTAGCAAAGAGTGCAAGAAAGCAGGCAACTAGAGGAAGAATAATAAAACAAAACAGGACGGTAGGAGATAACAGGCATTTTTGCTTCTTCTTACCAGCTTTATTGATTTGGTGTTATTCTGTACTGGTTTTTAATATAATTCTTATTTGGAGATGAACCTCTACACAGTTCATTTGCTGAAAACGAAAGCTATAAATATTTTAGCTAACCTACCAATTGATAAATTGCATATAGGATACTCACCTGATAATGTCTGCGCAGAACTGACAGTGTTGTGTGCTGCCATGGCGGATAGTTCTTGGCCACGTAAATGGTACAGTGGGATGGCTTCTTGGGTGCTTCTTTGTTGCCCTTCTAGAAAATGTTAAAGGTCTCTCTTTAGAAGAGGGCATAAATGTTTTAAAAATTCAGTACAGAGATAGAGTCATGAACATTGGACACAAACCTTTCCTTTAGATGGTGCCAGGTAGTTTTTGAGACGCAGGCGGAGATCGTGGGCTGCCTCTGTGAGGTACTGGGATGAGCGGATCAATACTTCATCCACAGGGCCAGGCACGGGCCAGGAAGCTTTCATGATGGAGTCAGTCTTTACATTTGGGTTGAAAGTAAACATTAAGATTAAATATGAGGAGAGGGCGAGGGACTGCTCTGCAACACCATTTTCCTCCCCAGACCTCTACAACTTGCAGGTCCTCCATGTAGAAATGCACAGGCATCGCACCAGTGACATAAATACACAGCCTTACCTTGCCTAACAATGCCCAAACATGTTCACACACATGAGGGCAGACGGGAGCCAAAAGGAGTGTCTGAGATTCAATAAACTGGAGCACCAAATCCCTGTGCATTCCTTCAATTGCCAGCTCACGGTATTTATCTTTTGCTGCCTGAAAAGACAGCCAACACAAGCACTATTAAGGTATTCCTGGTTATCATGGAAAAGCACTGTTTAAAAATACAATTTCCTTGTCCAAATCCATCCTCAAAATATAAACCACTTATAATCCTATAACAGATTATTAAAAAGGCCATATTTTTTCATACACACACACACAGAGCTGGAATCAGTATCAAATGCAATTCTGCCAGTTGGACATTATGTAGCTTTATATTATTATGGCTCTTAAAAGAGACATCTATCGGAACAGACATAAAAGTCAAGGATAACTGTAACTGTATATTAGGTACTATCATTCTGAATGGCCCACATAAAAGGCTCCCATTAAGTAGTAAGGCAATAAATATGATCTGTTATTATGCACACAGTTCAGCCAGTGGAACCATACTCCTGAAAGTCAGCTGGGTAACACAGCCAGAGCGATTTGTTTCCTAAGCAAACAATATGCTGCTGCCAGTACTATGGAGAGCTGCTGACACCTTATGGACTACTGTACAAACTATCTCAATTCTTTAATGGTGGGATGAATACATTTTTGACACATTCATCTTAGAGAAAAGTTTGATTTGTTTAAAGGGAGGGGGGGGGGCAAATAAAAGAAACACGTATTTTTTTCCCTTTAATTATTTGCGCTTTGTCTTTTCCGACTGTTAACCCACCGACTGCCAAAGTGGAAATTGTGTCCTAGGGAAAGAAAATGCCTGGGGCAGATTACTGATAGAAGGCATATTCTACTTATACACATTTTCCCATTTAGCACCACATCAAGTATGTGTAAGTATGTAATGAACACGGCGAGGTCATTATGGGATGGGTCATAGTTTATAATATGAATTATGATAGAATTCTCCCTTGCTAGCATTCCCCATTAAAGGGCCTTACGCAGCAGGAGAAAACAAAACCCTTTTTTTGCTTGGCATTGCAGAAGGTTTTAGTGGGTGACCCTAACATGCCTGGAGGCAAATACTCTGCCCCAGGAACCTTCAGGAGCTGCAATGACTAATCTAAATGCTAAGAAACAAAAACTGGACCTAAAGCTATTTCCTGCTTTGATTTTCAAAAACAGTTAAATAGTGTGCTGAGGGAAAGCAACCTGTTTAATGGTGAAACTGGCACTGCTGGAGTCTCACAGGTACTCTAGAAGGGCCAAGGGCTGCAAAAACAGAAAAAAGGTGATGCGTGGCCCACCTCTCTAAAGTCACTGACAGTCACAGTAGATAACACTAAGCCTAACTCATAGATGGCAGCTGATACATTTTTCTGTATACCCTTATCTCTCCATCTTAACTTCCAGACATATGAAGTTCAATAGAAAGAGCAACACCGGCAATATTGTGCTATTATTACATGGTTTAGGTATGATGTAATTTCTGTTGACAGTCTGGTTGAAAAGGCTAAAGTGAATTTTTAAGATTATGTGCTCTGAAATTAAGCAGCCTACCTGAAATTCAAAGAAACCAGTTTTAAGAGCTTCCTTAAACATCATCTTCTCGTAATTCTGCTCTGTCTTCATTATGCCTGCATTAATTTCACTGGATGCATGGGAAGATGAGGAGGAGGAGGAGGAGGAGGAGGAGGAGGAGGAGGAGGAGGAGGAGACAAAGCTACAGTTAGACCAAAACAATGACAAGGATTAAGGTGTAAACACCTGTGATGCAACAGGGCCATGCAACACATGTGTGGGAGGAACCTGAAGTTCTTTTCCTCTTTTAATACAGTAATTTAAACAATTGGTGCTTTTTGATAGTACCTAAAAAAGACCCTGTCATTGAAGGTGTCAGCAGGCCCACTTCTTAAACTGTCCCAGTTTGCAAGCATCTCCTTCACCCACTCCACCCAGGTGTACAGGCGGAGGATGCCAGCATCTGCCATAGTTTCCACAAAGTTTGCATCTTCTACAGTATCACCTGCATCTGCCAGTGCCAGTCGCATGCCTAAAAGGAGACAGGATTTAGTATCTACCGAGCCACAGAACATAAGCTTCCATATAGAAAGAGAGCAAAAAGATGGCAGGGGGTTGGGCTAGATGACCCTTGTGGTCTCTTACAACACCCTGATTATATGAAAACCTGATCCCCAGCATATGTTCTGTGATGGGATGGAACTTCTGGGTCACAATACATTAAAGTGATCTGCTGTGGGAAAGGGTATAAGTACAGTTTGGAGCAAGAGTAAAGAGAGATATTCTGAAGTCCTCAAGCTTTGCCCTAGGTACAAGACGACTTTCTGGAAAGATTAAGGAGAAAACTGGGAAATAATTCTGTCTGTATTTGCGTTTTGGTCAGAATAACATGAGTAGGAACTCCCTCCCTGCTATGTTGTTCCCCGGGCCTCTACACAAGCCTCCTGTTTCAAAATAGTATGCAATATAATCTCTCCATGTTGAATGTGAAAAGAGTGATCAACAAGAGCTCCCATTTTCCATAGAAGAAATAAGAAGAATTGTTTGAATCCCTGCCCATGATGCATTCTTACCATCAGCAGAAAATTTCTGCACAGCTTCACTCAAAGTGAGAAAATTGCCTGTAGATTTAGACATCTGCAATGAAAGAAGAATCAAAGACAAACAAAATGAATGCATGGCTTATGGGTTAGAACCATAACACATAACGCAATTCAATTATACTATAATGGCCTACCAAGATACATAAGTCCCTCTACCTCCACACACTCTGGTCCAATTTAATTCTATTTATGAGGAAAACTTTAATTATCATATTGTTACCAACACTGTGGATTGATTCTGTATTTGTGACTATCTAATATGTCCAGTATGGAAAAAGAACAAAACAAAATGGAAGTAGTAAGAAATCTATGGTTGGGTTCTAAAAAACAGCTCTAACGTTCAAAGAAAAATGCTTGCAGTCCAGGTAAATTTCATAATATCACAATGCTCGTCCAGGGCACTGCAGGGATTTATGTTGACGATGCAAGGCACAATCAAATAGCTTTGGAATAAACAAGAGATTTTTTAAAAAACATGAAAAATGAAATTCAGATATTATAGAGGACAGCTAAGAACCATACATTATTAGATAAGACAGTGCATAGTTTCTGCTTGGATGGTTAGACAAATAGAAAAGCAGTTGGGTATCTGCTGAATAAATGTTCTAAAAACAATGTGCACTGAAAGGTCTGATTTCTCAAACAGGGATTTGTTATGTCACTCCTGAGTCTACAAATAGATGTCAGCCAAATAAAATAGCATACCTTCTCTGAATTCAGGAGGAGGTGCCCATTTGCTCTCACAGAGACAGGCCATTTCTCTCTGAATTGGAATGCAAAAAGATGTTTGTTTTCAGCTAATTCTAAACAACAATCAATTTTTAGTTAAGATAAGAGCACACTTACTAATAGGCCTACCACATTCCTCAAGACAGCAGTGACTGCTAAACAAGTAGTTCTTTGCTAAAACCCCAAATATATATTAAGGTTGTTTTTTTTTAAAAAAAAATCCACAATTACAATCTACACTCACATCAATGGAATACAATATTTTAAGAACCAAAGAATGCAAGAGCTACGTTTTGTTGGAATCAGGAATTTTATCTCCATTTGCAAGAAACCTAACTGAGAACTGTTATTTTGTATTAGAAGTACAACACACATATCCTGATTCACACTTAAGTACTCATTTGTATTTGTGCAACAGAAGTTTCCCCAATGGGCTGGATACTAGTATTTCCTCAAAAGGTCTAATAAAACTTAATAACATACGATGTTGTTGTGGTTGTTGTTGTTGTATGCCTTTGAGTAGTTTCTGATTTGTGGCAGCCCTAAGACAAATCTGTCATAGGGGTTTCTTGGCACGATTTGTTTGAAGAGGAATTTGCTTTTCCTTCTTTTGAGGCTGAGAGAATATGACTTGCCCAAGGTCACCTGATGGATTTCCATGGTCGAGCAGAGATTCTACCATGATTCCCCACGGTGGAAGTTCAATGCCCAAACCACCACACTGGCTCTCATACAATATGTCATGGTACACAATAGCTCTTCAGTAATAAAGCAGAGTGCAATAATATCCAGAGGGCCACAGACTCCCCAAACTTGGAATGGAGCATAAAGCAGAGAAAAGTGGGGAATGGTAACATATTGATGGTGGCAAAAGAAGGGACAAAAGTGCACTAAAAAGGAGATGATCTTAAAATTAAAGGATATTCAGGAGCCCCTCACCAACACTTTCTAATGAAACTATGTCAATCCTACCATCACTTCCATGTGTTTCAACAGGACAATATTAGTTACTAAACTCAATTTTTTCTGGAGGAAGGGTGCAGGGGAATGAAAGAGATAAAGTACCCTAATGGGCAACTTAAAATATCAATATGAAAAGAGTGCCTTAATAATCATCATCATCATCATCATCATCATCTTTATTTATATTCCACCACTATCTCCCCAAAGGGACTCAGGGCAGCTTACAAGCACTTCAAAGTGCAGCATATAACATACATGGTGCATAAGTATAAAACGATACCACTAAAAATTAGAAAAACAAACACTATCAACACATATAATAAAATAAAATAACAAAATTTTAAAATGCAGACCATCTGTAGGTAAAACTAGCTGCCATCAATTCACATCTAAAGTACCAAACTGAACCTCCAATGGTTATAGTAAATGGAGGAGTAAATCCCTTGGGTCTTCAATGCCCCTTCTCACAAGATTCCCGAGTATGTTGACAAACTAGCACAGCCACTCCTTCCTACAATTTTAAAACTGTGAGTGATGTGTGGTGTGAGACACACAATGGTTTGCTAGTATAAGACAAATGTGAGATGGCAGGAGTTTCTAAGTCCTCAGTCAAAGTCTTAGCAAATCTACACTAAAGGACTGGAAAAGAGAATGACCAAATATGGTTTAGCAATTAAATGTCAGCTGTTTGATAACCTAGTGGTCTTAATTTAATTCATAACTGATATATGGAGGATCTAGAGAAGCAATTATGTTTCACACTATCCTGCTCATTTCTATGCTTGCTAAACTTAAAAATAGCCTTGCCGAGGAGAGAACTCATGAAATAGAAGAGATATATTTAGAAGGACCTGGTATTAGTCCTGACCAACCTTTGATTTGGCCACATGGCTACATGGTTATAAAGGTAGTATGACAAGTGATTTGGGACAAGGTCCTTGCCAGAAGCACGTAGGTCCACTGGATACCAAAATTCAAATTCCTGTTTCAGTTTATCCAGAGCTGCTTTGGGGATTTTTGTTGCAGGGAATGGAGCTGTCTTAAAGAAGATATAGTCCCACACCTCTTTTGACATCTGGTTTGCCCTACAGATATTATGAAATAAAAAAGTTACAGCGAGGAAACAGCAAACATTCCCCTTAAAATTCTGTTATGCTAGTAAGCACACACTGCTAAGCTTCTGTATTTAATTTGACTAGGTTGATCAATAAAATCATATGTGCCACCTTTATTTCATTCACAAATGTAATAAGTGATCTTTCTCTTTCTCATCAACTTACCATTTTACATACTCTAAGTATTTTGATTTTTAAGCAATATTATTAATTCTCATAAAACTCTTTACCAATCAAACATAGTAATGCTGACTCTAAGCATTCATGATAAATGAACCTTAACATTATTAAGTTACTGCAAACAGTAACAGTGTGGTATAGACAGAGTGCTCCCATGATTTCTCTAAATTAGACATAACTGTTTAACATTTCACCAGTAGTAAATCTCATAAATTTGTGCACACTGCATGGAAGGAGCAAAGATGCAAACTGCTCTCACTTGTGTTTTGAATCTGGCTTGTTGCAAAATTAATGCTTAATGCCTTTATCTATAGGTATGGGAATCTAGAATCATCATCCCAATTTTCATGGCTTCTTTGTGTGTGCCTGTATGTCTCTTTCAGACATCTTTGAAAATGGCTTGTGCAGCACAACAACAAGTATAATGCATGCAGGAAAGTAAAAAATCCACTGGATTCAAAATTAAGATTCATATATTAAATTGAGGGTGGCTCATTATGGAGTCTTTTCACAGGCAGCCTTTGATATGTTGCTTCAATCACCTTAATTCATTTTCTACTTCCCTTTGGAAATTCAATAATCACTTCTGAATTAAGACATCAAATGCAACATAACAGTTCATAGAAAGATCTCTTCAATACTGTTGACTGGAGAAACAGCAAGAGGGGAGTAAAACAGAACTGTTGCTGTCAAGCTAAATTATTTTTATTCCAGTCTTTGTTTAAAAAGTGTGAAAATGAGACAACTACTAGTCAGCTCAATTAAGGGTTCAGAAGAAAGGCTCCTCAGGCATACTATGGCTGAATTTAAAAGAAAATTCACCATAGGAAAAAAATCTTATTCTGAAACAATCCTCTTGGTTTTCATTTCCTTTTAGCTTGAAAGGATAGGCAGGACCGAAATATTCTTAAAAGTTTCTAAAACTTTCTTGAGTGGTTTCAGCCAAAGAGAACATTTTCCCACCTTCTTATAAACAATAAAACTTTATTTATACCCCACCACCGTCTCCCAAAAAAGACTTAGGGAAGCTTACAAGCACATACAAGTGCCATAACCACATAAAATACAGGTAAAATCACCTCAACATATTAGACAATGACAATATCAGTTTGACTAACCAGGAGGACCTCTGTCTTGTCTGGATTAAGCCTCAGTGTGTTGTTGATGGCCAATCCATCAATTGCAAACTGTAGTGGACCATAAATAGACTGACACTATACTTTGAGTAATCATCAAAAATGACTCACGAGGAAGGGATTTTTTTAAAGGAAGTAACATGTGCTGATCAGCAGACTGCAGTACTTTATAAATACACTATTTAGACTATATAAGAACAGACTGCAATAATTACTTTGAAGTGTTCTGCCACTTTCTGTAACATGGAAGATTAGCCTTATCTTTTGTTATTTTACATAATAGTTTTTAGAGATGAAGATATAAAAAGCTAATGAATGTACAGCGGAATTCATGTAAACAGTTTACAAGACAGCTTTTGGTCACTACCGATTTATTTATAGCAGATGGGGGGCCATTAACCATCTGCCCCACTTCTCAATCACTTTATTAACTTCCTGGGAAATCTAAAGTGACAATAAAAATAAGGACTAATTCTAATGACCATCTTTTTCAGAATGTGCTTGGATTTACAGCTGTCCTGAAAAGTGTCTACTAACAGAGATCTAACATATGTGAAGCTCTTCATCTACTATGAGAACTAAATCAACAGAAAGTGGTTACACTGATGATGAGGATTCCTTCCCCTTCCTTCTTACCTGATCCTTATTGGAGACTCTCCTTGTCCACGGAGATTGCCCCCTTGTAGGAAATGAGCCACTGTATAGAAGGCCATGTAGATAGTTGAATCAGAGAGAGATTCTATCAGCCACTGCTCATCCCAAGGCAAACGAGTACCTAGATGATAACAAAATATGTTAAATGTGAATTAGCAGTCTAGGTTTCAAGGCTGACCAAGGTGAGGAAATAGGTGGGGAAATTAAAACAGTCATTATTGGGATGGTAGTTATTGAATGCCTTAGTTATTGGTAATAAGGGATTATTATTACTTTCTACATTTCAGATCAAGATGGTTCACCAGGCATCATCTGATTATGATTATGCTGAAAGATGAGGCTGCCTCGAAGGGAAACCTGAAAGGAACATGATTAGTTTCTACAGGAAGTTGAACTAACAATGTCCTGATCAGTAATTAATCTGCACTTCCATTTAAGAACTGGGAATCTATAGATGAAAAACTGAGCAGTATCATGATCTGACATCATATGATTCATGTTTCTGTATCAAATGTCTTACTATATGTCATTAGATATTGCAGATTTTTTTAAAAAATCAACAAAGCGAGTCATATCAAACAGTATTACTCCTGAACAACACTGTATGTTCTTCTTACCTAATCCATATGTTCTTGAACATGCATGTTCCTGCAGCCAGTCTAGAGTAGCTTCAAAATTTCTTCTCGTCTCTTCACAAAATCTGGAAAGAGCAGAGCATTCATCTGTACTGTGTCCCCTGGCTCTGTATTAGTCTATGGTTTTTCTGTTCTTGCTCCCCACAACTTACGTCTCAAGATTTTTCAGGCATTCGTGAGTCTGTTTCTTCCATGATTCTTCTCCATAATCCAAGTACCTAAAGTCAGGGGGAAAAACAGTTACAGCAAAGTGGGAAAACATGCAACTAATGTAGTTGTGTGTTGATTCCCAACTCACCACTGATCACAAAGAGCCACCACACACTCATCGGCAGATCTTGACATGACTTGTTTTTCTGGCTCCATATAGATCACAGCTTCACCCTAGAAAGAGGAGGATTACAGAGGTGAGACAACAAAAATATGTTTTATAGAATAAACAAGTGGCTTAGCCAAGCAAATATACTCAATTCCATTTAACTAAAAAGCTTTTTCAGGTGCTACCTTGAGGTTATCCTGACAGGTCAACTGTGGAATTACAGGAAACTTCAAATCTCCCCCTCAATGCCCCTTTCTACTCCAGATTATCAAAGCACATAATCCACATTCTCTGTTTGAACTGGATTTTATATGGCAGTGTAGAAAGGGCCTAAGAGTAAAGAGTAGCATCCAGAACCAGAGGGGAAGACCTCAACTCTCAAGCTTCCTCCATGAGGTCCCAGCCAGCATTTTCCAGACTCCAGGGGACAGAGAAAAAAAGGATGAAAAGGAAGAAGTTTAGGTGAGTTCTGTACTGGCTATGGATCCAGAATATCTAGAGCTCTCCCATGTCCTTGGCACATGGACAGAGGGAAATAGCTTAAGCCTGCGTATAAATCATGTCAACTAAACCATTAATACAATTGCACACCTTTTTAATAACAGTATTCATTAAAGGAAAATGGGGTGAACTGCATGGTTTCTCATACATTCCACTTCTACCCTGTACCAGCCCACGAATGCAAGTATAATCTGTGGGGGTGGTAGCAGGTCAGAGAGTTCAGTTTTCTTTTACTGGGCTTAGCTCACAGTGAAATAGGACAGATGATGCCAAAGCTAAGATCTCAAACTAGACCACAAGTGAATCAGGTTGTGGCTTGGATGCCTCCACCAGACTAAACTGGAAGAGATTATAACTTTCCACTCTACATTTGTTGAGAAGGAGAAATCTAACCATGGAATATGTACACGCTAACCTAAATTAACAGAGGATGTATGGTGAAAAACTGGCAGAAGGATCAGGGAAGAAGTGGCTCTTCTGCAAAAGCCCGACTCCACAGAGACAAAAGATTCTCATCTGCAGTATTTGATGGAGTGATCAGGAACAGTCTAGGTGGTGTCCCTATGTATTTCTGAAAGAGACATGTCAGTGGAGAAGACTGTGAATACGTGATTGGTAATGTTAACTAGATAGGTATTGGTTCCTCACACTATAACAGGAGACATGCAGACCTTCAAGCACCTTGACTACATCCAGCTGGGCCAAATAAATCCAGAGGGGTGGGAAGACAAAATAAGTGGATGTCAAGATATTAGGACCAGTGAAACCAAGTGTTATTGTTACTATAAAGTATTGTTATTTAAGAATACTGAAGGCGTGAAAGAAAACTTAGAAACAATGATTAGGATCACATTGTCCAAACTTAACACTATATTCAATTATGATATCCTTCTGGGTGATGCAATAGCCACAAGAAAGTCCACCAGAACCAAGGGTATTCTTAATGAAATAGACTATACAGCACATGTAGCCCCTGAAATTACCACCAAGTCTTCAGTTATAAAAGTCTTCAGTAAAAAAAGTAATAAAAATCTAGAATATTTATTAAATAAAATGACCAGCTCAAAATTAACTGCAAATTCACTACCTTGCTAAAGCATGCAGACTCTGTAAAAAAATTCTAGCTGCTTTTTCCAAGCACTACTCATTTCCTATTTCAATTCAGGCCAATTTTCAGCCAATTCTGGGGGAGGGGGTTGGCATGTTTCTAAGATGTGTGTGAAGGTTAGGGGAATAAAATGAAGTGTGTGTGACAAACAGCACAAAACTTATTTTTACATTTTCATGAAGTCTGGGGATTTTCGTATGCCACTGCCAGTGATTTAACATGCTGTGGATACCCTTAGCAGGAGTCTAGGCCCTTTTGCCCTTTAATTTCTAATGATTAGTCCGAGCCATATCACTGAAGCTATGGTGACTCTGAGAACTAATATGGTGGTGTGGTTTGAGCCCCAGACCATGACTCTTGAGAAGAGGGTTCAAATTGTTGCTTTACCACGGAAAAAGGTAAGGGCAAATTCTCTCTGAATAAATGTTGCTAAGAAAACAATTTGATAGGGTCATATTAGGACCACCATGTGTGGGAAATAAATGGAAGGCACACAACTCTCACACAACATGATATTTGTCCTTTTACCCAACATCCATGGGTAGATAATAAGAAGAAAGAATAGAGCAGTTTGTTGTTTTTGTAGCATAGTGAAGGTGTGAAAGATATCTTGGGAACAGAGATGTACTTGGAAACTGCAAAAAAATGGAACAAAATTTAATTAACAGGACCTGAGTGTCTGGGAGAAAGGTGGGAATAGGCTTAGGAGTCTAATGGCACTACAGTACTAAAAACTGTGTTTCACAGTTTTTGCCTTTTCTATTGTCGAAGGCTTTCAAGGCTGGAATCACTAGGTTCTTGTGGGTTTTTTTGGGCTATAGGGCCATGTTCTAGAGGCATTTCTCCTGACGTTTCGCCTGCATCTATGGCAAGCATCCTCAGAGGTAGTGAGGTCTGTTGGAATTAGGACAATGGGTTTATATATCTGAGGAATGGCTGGGGTGGGGTAAGGAGCTCTTCCCTGCTGGAGCTAGGTGTGAATGTTTCAACTGACCACCTTCATTAGCATTTGAAGGCCTGCCTGAGCCTGTTGAGAGGTGTTAAGATGTGCCTGGTTGTTTCCTCTCTGCTGTTTTGCTGTTGTAATTTTAGAGTTTTTTAATACTGGTAGCCAGATTTTGTTCATTTTCGTGGTCTCTTCCTTTCTGTTGAAATTGTCCACATGCTTGTGGATTTCAATGGCTTCTCTGTGTAGTCTGACATGGTGGTTGTTGGTGTGGTCCAGCATTTCTGTGTTCTCAAATAATATGCTGTGTCCAGGCTGGTTCATCAGGTGCTCTGCTATGGCTGACTTCTCTGGTTGAAGTAGTCTGCAGTGCCTTTCATGTTCCTTGATTCGTGTTTGGGCGCTGCGTTTGGTGGTCCCTATGTAGACTTGTCCACAGCTGCATGGTATACGGTAGACTCCTGCATAGGTGAGAGGATCCCTCTTGTCCTTTGCTGAACGTAGCATTTGTTGGATTTTCTTGGTGGGTTTGTAGATTGTTTGTATGTTGTGTTTCCTCATCAGCTTCCCTATGCGGTCAGTGGTTCCCTTGATGTATGGCAGGAACACTTTTCCTCTGGGTGGATCTTCATCTTTACTCTCGTGGCTTGTTCTTGGTCTTGCAGCTCTTCTGATGTCTGAGGTGGAGTATCCATTGGCCTGGAGAGCCCAGTTGAGGTGGTTCATTCTTTTCTGGCACTGGGAGATACTTCACTGCTGGATACATCCTTCATAACAAACAATCAGTCTTCTCAGTATTTTATTTGCCCTCTTGTGAATAAAATGTGTAAGTACATCAGTATAACCATCATACTGTACAATAAGAATTTAGAACTGACAAGTTCTAGAAACCACAATGATATTTTCCTTTCAAAACCTTTAAAGACTGAAATCTCACCACAAACTGTTGCAGTGGTGCTGCATTCCTTTTTCTAATGGCCCTAAAAATAGACTTTCAAGATTATAGGGCTTTTCGGGTCCAAGATTATATGTTCAAAATATGAAAAACAATAAGGAATTATTTATCGTGTGTAGTAGTCATGTGACAAAGTCCCCAGTGCTGCAGCAGGACTGCTAACCAAAAGCAGTCCAGAGAGTGAGGTGAGCTCCCATCTGTCAGCTCCAGTTTCTCATGCAGAGGCATGAGAGAAGCCTCCCACAGTATGGTAAAACATCCTGGCGTGCCCTGGGCAACACCACTGCAGATGGTTCATTCTCTCATACAGAAGCAACTTGCAGTTTCTTAGGCTGCTCCTGGCACAAAAAAATGTGACAAAGCTAAGAAAAATTGGAAGTAGATACTCTGCTGTTGGCAATGCAAGATATTATTAGGACTACAAAACAGTTAAAACAATAGTTGTTTTATGGGGATGTCCAAATTCACAGATCAAGAACTTGAACCAAATTTATATTGTATAGCTTTAAGAGCAATATTGTTGGATGTTCAGAAATTTTTTTAAAAATGAGAAATACAAACAAAACAAAACTGGATATTGAAGTTAGAATGACAGAATGTCACCTTGATTAGAGATAAGTCTTTGGATGTTTATTTCCTTTTTAGGTTGGGGTTAGATAGGGGAAAGATTGGGAATCATTTTTATCTTGTACCAGGCCCGTGGCCAGGATTTCGATTCGGGGGGGGGGGGGCTGAGTCTGAGTGAAAGAGGGTCTAACCTAGCAAACCTTTTGTATTGTTACCCCAATACCCCATGCATATGGGATATATTGAGTATGGTGATCAGATCATGATATGAATAAACATAACAGTTTAAATAATGCACCAGTAAGGCCTTTTTGCGAACCACCATGGGAATTTAGGGGGGGGGGGAGCCCCCCCCCCCCCCCCCGGCTACATGCCTGTCTTGTACACAAAAGAAGAGAAGACAACACTTGTCGGTTTTGAATTCTGAGTTGATATTTTTATATGGATGAATATTAGGCAGATGTTTAAATGTTAGTGAAGAAATGAAGTGAGTGCTATTTTTATTTTTGTTGGTGACTTGGAGGGTGGAAAGCTTGCTTCTGTGGGTGGGGTGGTCAGAAAGATTTGTGTTTGCTTTGTTGTTGTCAGTATTATAATCAGTTCCATTTGTGATTTGTCTTGTGCATATGAAATACAATAAAAGTATGTTACAAAAAAATCACAGAGCTTTTGTAAGCAGGGAGATAATGGATTATTTCACAAAACAAAACAACATACTGCCAGGATACAAAGTCCATTTCAAAATTATTTCTGTTTGATAGGCCAAGTGTAATAAGTTGGGGGGGGGGGTTTGGAATAAAACCAAAGCACTTGATTTAGTATGGCTTTGATTCTTGTGGCTGTGGTTCTGTCTGGAGAAATCAAGCAGTGCTCTGTAAAAAACAAGCCAACAAAATGGTGTTGTGGAAGTCACGATATCATATTTTTAAAAGGCAATACAAACCACTACGCACATTGTCTACCATCTTCTTCTGAATAAGCTTCTTGACATCTTGAATCTTCTGGCCCTTGAATTCATCAACAAGCATTATCTGAAAAGAGGTCATTCCACAGGTTAAAATTGGTTTCGGATATTTTGTAGTTTTGTAAGTAGCTTGGTCTACCTTACTTCCTTTTATTGCCAAACAATGGCTTCATATGGAAACTCACCAAAATCCAATAATTTGGTGCCTTCTTAAATTCTTAGTTCTTAATCCGCCCTGAGTCCTTCCGCTGAGATAGGGCAGAATATATATAAAGTTTTTTATTACAGTTCTCCCCATTGTATCTCCTGTCCTCAAAAGATCACAAACCATGTACAGCGAGCACATCAAGATTCTTCTTCACTTTGAAGAGCCCTTCCAAAAATTCTTCAACCCAGTCCCAGTCCCTAGAACTTAGAATAACCATTTCCCCAGAAGATAGAATTCACAACCTCTGGCTTGCTTTCCTAGCTCCTTCTACAATTATTGTCCTTTTCAATCCACATTCTCTCTCTAGAACCAGGAACCTCTTCTCAGTTGTCTCTGGAAAGGGAATCTTTCTCAGCAACCAAATACTGAGAAAGACCATGTTACAGGGTTCCAAATAATAAAGTAAAGCAATCACCTGATCATATCCCAGCTAAGCATTTGCCGATCCATACCTTGGTGGATCCTAACTCACCTTTCCCTAGGTCAAGGATGGACAAGTGGCAAAGCCTAGGGGGAGCCATACTGGACCTCCAGTAAACCTTGGAGAGCTGCACATCCCATTGGTCCCAGGGCTATCTCAGGCCAAGCTAGACCCAACATCATTAAGTAAATGGAAGCCACACTCTTATCTCTTCCTGTTTCAAAGAAAGGCCTCTCCTGCAACATTGTCTGCGTGGCGGGAGGGGGGCACGTAACAGAAATGCCCTAGCAGCCATCTGAGGGGAAAACATTGACACCGCCTCCCCCCCCCCCCCCCCCCCCCCCCCCAGGGAACTATGAAAAAAACAGGCTGTAGGCCAATCCCACCCTAGCCCAAAAGGACTGATGGCATGGACACTCAACCTGAAATGGCCAAGCACACTAACCTCTTCCAGTTCAGTTGTCTGCCTATTTCATTATAATGCCTAGTGAAAAAGTGTCATATTATGGTTAAATGTTGGACTACAACTCTGGAAAGCATGGCACAAATCCCCACTTGGCCATGGAAACCTACTAAGTAATGCTGGGTTAATATATTTCCAAATTACCAGAGAAAGAACATCAGAGAATGAAGTCCACTACTCTATCAAGACCTTCTGGACAAACCTGATATTTAATAGAACAAGTCATATAGTAAAGAATGAGAAGGAAGAGACTAAGATCAAGTAAGCAACCAAACAAACAAGTAAAGCCTTGAAACAGTCCATGTGTGCAAATGCAAAATGCAACAAAGGAGAAAAGCGCAAGAGAGAACTCCTCTATGTCCCTTGTGAAAATCTTACTTACACCCTCATAAAATCCTTTTAGGTATAGCCTCTCCTTGGCTTCGACTAGTTTCTCTCTGTCATTTTGACTCTGGATTTTCAGCTCATCACAGATCATTGGAGCAGAAAGTTGGCCATAGCCAGGGATCTCAATGATAGGCACCTGGGAACATACAAAAGCATAGTAAAGCTGTCATTCTCAGTCATGCAAGTGAATCAAAAGTCTTAAGGGGAATTCTGTGCTGACCCTTGTAGCCTTCAAATAAATCTGTACTTGATGGTTTGGCAACAGTACATTGACTTGCTTACAGTCCTGTGGCCTGAAGATATAATTGAAGCCGATCTTAATTCCACTCCAATGAGTAATTGTGAGTATTAGCTCTATAGTGCATAAAAATGCATAAAAAGTATTAGATCGGTAGGCCATACAACTAGAATATAGGCATTTTGTTGGTGGCATGACTTAACCCAAATGTCGGGTTATTTCCTAACCACATTAGTCTCCAGTGATAAAAATTGTTGGAAGAATCAATATTTTAGATAGTAATCACAAAGGCAGTTTCAGAAATTATTCAAGAGGTGTTTAGTTCTTAATCTTGCATCAGAAAATATTGCTGGCCTAATCATGCACCATGCAAGGAAAACCAGATGATTGAATGAACACAGAGTCTCAGACAGGCAGATATGACTTTCAAATGAGATTGCTCAGCAGAACTGTAAGAACAACTAGGACAGACTTTCTCCTTTGTCCTCTGGATGGACTAACAGATCTGAAACAATTTGTAAATGTCATCTGACTGTGTTATGGTTGAACACCCTTTATCTGTTCAAAAGTTGGAAGAAGATGCCAATATGTCAGTGAAGCAAAAAATCCTTGCCATAAACCTACTTTTCATATGAACTATTTCCAAATGACAAAAGGAAGCAATAGCCAACCTATAAAATTGTAGTCTGAGAGCCCTTCAACTACATGTTGCATCAGCAGATGCTGTTTCCCAAATTTTGGTGCGCATTTCAAATTTCCCTAGCCAGCTCTTCTTGGCTGGTATACCAGTCTGCCATCCCATAGGCTAGAGCTGTGAGATTTATAGTCCTCATTGTGTTTTTCTACTCGAAGTCTAGCTAAGGGGTCCCTTGAGCATATAGGGGGTCCCTTCACCAAGACCTAGAGGGATGCAAGTTCCCTACCCCAGCCCTTCAAAGAACATTAGTCATTTAAAACATTGCTTCTTAAACAGTGGGTCTAATCCCAGATAGGGTCCCCTTAGCTCAATGTTGGGGTCACGAAAAATTTGTGAAGGCTTCTGAATGCCAACCATTTCCACAAATCTGTTAGCAACAATGTTCATCCTGCCCTGGAGACTAGGACGCAGAACAATGGCTTCAAGCTACAAGAAAGAAGATTCCATCTGAACATTAGGAAGACCTTCCTGACTGTGAGAGCGGTTCAGTAGTGGAACTCTCTGCCCCAGAGTGTGGTGGAAGCTCCTTCTTTGGAGGCTTTTAAACAGAGGCTGGATGGCCATCTGTCGGGGATGCTTTGAATAAGATTTTCCTGCTTCTTGGGCAGGGGGTTGGGATGGATAGCCCACAAGGTCTCTTCCAACTCCATGATTCTATGATTCTATGCAAAAATTCTTCAGCTGTACTCCACAAAAAGGAAAATCAGCCTGTTTAGCAAACCATGCAAATGTTGATTTGTTATCAGCCAATATTAGATTTTCATAAGCCTATATACCTAGGGACACAAAAACGTTTCTCACATGGAAAAGGGTTGCAAATGGAAAACTTTTATGGAGTCCTGATCTAAACTCTTGAGTATAGGGGGTGGCGGGGTGGGGGGGGGGGATAAATGAATGTCATGCTGGTTTGTTTACATAGAATGTGAAGATTCTGTGCACAAAGGATTTGACACAAATATGTACATCTACTAGAAGTGATGTATTTCAATACAATTATTATTTGCTGCACTTACTGGTTCAAATGGGAGGACCATGTCATCCTTAATGCCATACTTTGCTCGAAAAGGCTATGAAGAAATTAGAAACCAAATGTAAAAATCAAATTTACAACAACCTAATATAAACAGGGCTTTGCTCTTTCAGATTAAACAATCAATTAAGGTAATAAATGTTTTCATCAGCAAAAAGAAGCCCAATAAACTGGAGAACAGCTGCACTTTTTAAAAAGCCTACAGATAATAACATACCATTATTCACAGGGAAGAAATTACTCTTCTATTCCAAGCATGAAAACTGTGTGACTCATGGACGACATGCAGCCCTTAGAACACCCCCTTTCCCCCCCCCCTCAAAAAATGTTTGGACATGCACACTTTCAGATAACATCTTCCAAACATTTTATTTTTGAAATTAAAAAATCTTCCCAAAGCAGAAAATATCCTCCCAATGACCAAGCAGTAAACAGTGATACAATGTCACTTCTGAATGTTCTGTCCTGGAAACCCCTACTAGCCTGATAATCCCTTCTCTTGAGCAGGTATACAATATGGGCTAGATAAGTGGTTCTCTACCTGTGGGTCCCCAGATGTTTTGGCCTTCAACTCCCAGAAATCCTAACAGCTGGTAAACTGGTAGAACCACTGAGCTACATTGAGCCCTGAATCTACATGTAATACAATGAGAAAAGTACATTATAGCTCGATGGCGACAAATATATTAAATGTTGTCTTAGCAAGGTAGCTAATAGTGTGTATAGTGTTTTTTCAGCTGAAAATTTGTGGGTGTTTCCTGAACATACTGTTTCTGTTGTCTCTATATAGACTATGCATTCAACCTTCTGACTATGGAAATAACTTTTTACTCATTGTAAATTTACACTGGACACTCGAGATCCAGTGGTTTGGGATCTGTGATTTCCATCAACTACAGATTATCATATCTTATACATAAAATGGGGGTGATGTAAATAAGGATGCACTGAAGTATCAACACATATGTTGCTGCCATTTAATAATATAGCATTCCATCATCCACTCTTTTTTCTTTTTCTTTCTTTTTCTTTCTTTTTCTTTCTTTTTTTTTGCCTCCAAGGATAGTTCTCAAACTGATACCCTATGAATCCAGAGGACTTACTGTATTTTTAAAATGTTTGTGCTGGTATCTCTAAAATCTTTCGAGAAGCTGGTGACTCCACTCACCACTTGTTTTCAAGTTTAAAGAGGCTCACCTGTTTCTTTTTTAAGTCCCTCAGGGCCGCAATGTCATCTGGAGAATCAGATGGGACACTTGTGACCACACCGGTGCCTTACAAGAAATATTGAGAAAACATAGGTTTTATCCCATTTTTCAGTTGGACCAAAACCTACACACAAAAGAACAATTTAACTGGAAAATTTCAGATAGCTTCTTTATGTAGGAGGGCCTCCACTTAATACATGTTTGAACTAGAAATGGAAAGAAAAGAATAGCCACAATTTTTAAGTAGACCAGGAGGGACAAGAATATTGTATCTTTCACTCACATCTTAGTTTTTTGCAACTTAATACAGTTCTTGTTTTAAGTTTGTTCTGAAGCAGTGATATAGTCTACAACACATTGTTACCATTTGGTTTGTCCGGGGCTCCTCAGGTATTCATACAGAGGATAAACGAAGTCCTACACCCTTTGCTGTACAAGAGACTTTTCAGATTTTTTGGAAGATATATTTATTTATGAACACTAGAAGAAAACATCCCACTGGTGAAACAAGTGTTACAAAGGCTAAGAGAGGCACAACTATATGCTAAACTATCAATGTGTGAGTTTCACAAGGAGAGCCTGGATTATCTGGGGTATCATATAGCCGATGAAGGAGTGAAAATGGACTCCATCAAAGTGCAGAACTGGGAAGCAACCCCAAACCAGAAGACAGCTGCAAAGTTTCTTGGGGTTTATCAGTTTCTACAGACAATTTATCAAAGACTTTGCCAAAATAACAATTCCCCTGACAGATTTATTGAAAACAAAGGAGAAAGGAGAGTCCACTAAAGTGAAATCCCCAGGAGATTGGGAGTAAGACAATGAAACATGGATGGTTAAAGGAGTTCCAAGACAGATATAATACTGATCTGTAGCTACCAGAGCACCAGGATGAACTAGAAGGAAAATGTGGTCTGTGGTACCACAGAGAAAAGATACATGTTCTGCAATCGGTACATGATCATAAAACAGCAGACTTTTTCGGATATGTGAAAACATTACAATTACTGTCTCAGCAGTTTTGGTGGCCAAAAATCCAGGAAGATCTGAAAGGCTTTGTACGAGAGTGTGCCATGTGTGCAAGGGCTAAACAACTGATTGGGAAACCAAGGGGAATTATTACACCAGTAGCCTATGCTTCTAGACCCTGGAAATAGATTGCAATGGACTTCATTGTGGATTTACTCAATAGCAAAGGGTTCTCTACCATCTGGACTATTATAGACTTGTTCTCTAAGCAGGCTCACTTTCAAGCGCACCACACCACATTTGGTGAAGCTGTTAACACCACATGTGTACAGCCTTCATGGGTGCCCCGAGAGGATAGTATTGAACCCAGGTCTACAGTTCACCGGAAAGTACTGGAAGGCGTCATAGAACTTTCATTACAAGAATAGCAATACAGAAAGAGGCTTGCAGAACACTTCAATACTCATTAGTTCAGTAAAAAGTAGCCCAACTGGCAAAAAAACTGAAAATAATACAGATAAAAATGCAGCAGGCTCACCTTTATCTTCCTTAATAGTCAACATAGGAAGGGTATAGATGACGTTGTAGGTTGTTAGAGGAGCAGAAAGTGGAGCCCCAAGAATGTCCTACACAAGAGAGAAGCAGAATTGCAATAGGTTAAGATTAAATGGTTACTTGTAGCTGAACAATTAACAATTAACATAGACTATGTATCAAGCATGGGCAAGCTTTTTTGTGCGGGTTACCTTGAGGGGTGGGGCAGTGCAGGTGGGCAACGGGGGGGGGAGGTCGAGGGCAGTTGCTGCAGGAGGAGACCAGGAGCAGTTTGTGCAGAGGACAGCCCTCCTCTCAGTCTAGGGATGCCATGGCCTGCCACAGCCTCAGGCTCAAAGGCAAAAGAGACATGTCATTGGTGAGCTCCAGGGGGATCTCACCAGTTATGGCTCTCATCTCAGCCTGGCCCTGCCACAGCCTGCCACAGTCCCAGACTCCAAGAAGGAGACACGTGGAAGGCAAGAGCTCTGGAGGGCAGCACCTTAGGCTCTTTCCTTCAGCCCTTATCTGCCTCAGCCCTCTTATCAGCATGTGGATGCGGTGGACCGCCACAGGCTGAGAGGGCTGAGAGGAGGAGGAGACACGTGGCTCTGGAGAGCTCTCACCAGCCGCGTATCCCTGCCTTGGCCATCCCCTCAGCCTGGAGATGCAGCAGGATGTCTTATACACATGCTGGGAGGGGGGTTGAGGCAAAAGGGGGCCGAAGCAAAAGAGGGCCGGAGGAAATAGCCCAAGGGGCAGTATCCAGCCCGCACTCCTGGGTTTACCCATGCCCACTATATATTATTGGACAACATAGGCATGATACACTGATTTTGCATACTTTTTTCATGTTGTATGTATATACAATATTATTTATTCCACATACTTTGAAATATAAGCCATTTATAAGTACCTGTAATTAAGATATACCGTAATGAGAGTAGTATAAAGACTTAGATCACAAGACATCAAATGTACAATATCAAGTAGAGTTACACACTTCTCATTGCTTCCAGATGGACTCCCACAAAATATATTGCAATGGACTATCCAGCTACAGAGGGTCCATCAGGTATAAGGGCAGGAAGTGGCACAAATACTGGAAAAGGAAGGAAATGAAATGTTCCCGTGCTTTCCACATCAGCTCTGGATTCAACTTTTTCTATTCAAAATACTAAAACTGAAAAGGTGTTCTAAGTCAAATAGGCTAGAAAAAGTTTAATTGCTTCTTCTGTTCACAGAAAAGGCCAAAGGCAGTAGGAAAAATGCTCACAGACCAGACCAGGTCACAATGTAGCCACAAGAGTAAAGTAAAGCATTAAATGGTGGATTTCTCTCCATACACATTTTTTGCAAAATATTCTGTTTCAGCATGGGAATTTGTCCTTTAACACAATATATTTTAACAGCCCATATACCGCTTTTCAAGGTGAGTGCTGTGATACCATGAGATGAGTCAAAGGTCATGAGAACAGAATTTCAAGGTGAAGGTGAGAAATGACACACCGCATTCCTTCGTAAACATTTTTCAGCACTTTCTTTCCAATCCGTGGACAAATACTCCAGCTATTTAAATCTCTTTGCTCACCTCTCCCATCAGTTCCTTCACAACAGGCACTACTCCATTTGTCTTTGTGAAGCCTTGATAGGACATATTCCTGGCAGCTCTCTGCGTGCAAATAAAAATATCTCCATTCAGGGTCTCAAAACCAATATACTTCATATCAGGGCGAACCCAACAATTTGTCTGCCCGAACATGGTCTCTGGTCTGAGAGTCGCAGCTACCAAAAAAATATTCTTTCCCTTAAGGCCACTGTAAAAGAAAGGAAAGGGAGTCCAGGAAAATAGTTTAGAAAATAACACAATGCCCCACAAAGAACAAAATCCAGCATTTTACAAATAACAAATTCTATAACCTATTGCCAATATCCCTTTATACGGGCCATTATGAAGCACGCATTCTTAAATTTGCTTCAGTTAATCTTGGAATGCAACTAGGATATATTAATTATTGATAAGGTATATAATCAGATTAATATCAGCAAACAGTAATCTAGCTGGTCCCATCAACAATAATCTGGTTCTAATGAAAAAATATTATTGAATGTTAGCTCTGCACAGAGAGAACTCATTTTTCCTCTCAACCAACATAACTTTAGTGAATACAAAAATATAAATATAGCCCAATTATTCAACATGATAGGGATCTCAGCACTGTCAAAAAGTGGGAAAATGTTAATAAGCAGAATTCAGTGCTTTTTCTAAGTTTGCAAATGCAAGACTGTACACAAGATAGTGCTGAGCCAACTAAAAGAATAGAAAAAGCCTTGGGAAGGCAACTGAGATGGAAAAAACAGTGTGCCAAATTGACTGAGAGACAAAAATGTAGCATGCAGACAAAAGATATGTTAAAAATATGGTCCAGGATATAATTTAGAACAGTCAAAAGAGAAGAGTGACAATAAGAGAGAATTAAAGTAGGAGACAACTATACATAAGTCTGTGTATACACAATCAATAATCAAGCACTGTTCTTCGTTTGACTTATGAATACCTACTCAGAAGTAATATACTGTATGTTTAATGTTTTGTTTCACTGTACTCATCTTTTCACTGGCAATCTCAAGGTGGCATACATGGCTCTACTCTTCCCTGATTGATTTTTCAAACATGCCAGGGGGTAGGTCAAGCTGAGATACAATGGTGGTCTAAGATGACCCCACCATTTTCATGGCTCAGTGGAGCCTGGAATCTAGAGCTCCCTACAAAATGAACCATAGAATCATAGAGTTGGAAGAGACCTTGGGGGCCATCCAGTCCAATCCCATGCCAAAAAAGCAGAAAAATCACATTCAAAGCACCCCTGACAGATGGCCATCCAGCCTTTGCTTAAGACTCCAAAAGAAGGAGCCTCCACCATACTCCAGGGCAGAGAGTTCCACTGCTGAATGGCTCTCACAGTCAGGAAGTTTTTCCTAATGTTTAGGAGGAATCTCCTTTTCTGTAATTCAAATCCATTGTTCCACATCCTAGTCTCCAGGGCAGCAGAAAAAAAGCTTGCTCTCTCCTCCTTATGACTTCCCCTCACATATTTATACATGGCCATCATGTATAACTCCCACAAAAAGTGTATATCCTGCCTTCTTAAGGGTATGTTTTAAACAGCTTAAATGACAGATATAATTTACATTTCAACAATTATTTTTATAAGTTTTTATCTGTGCGTGCTTTTATCTGTTATCTATCAAATGTAAAATTTTATCAGTGGAAGGAAATACCTCAACACATACAACGTTTTGCATTTCTACAGGAAAACGTAAAACGTCTAAGTTTTATAAAACAGCTTTGAGAATTCTTCCTAACTTGAAGAACAAATATTACCCTAGAAACTTACCTTAACTTCACTGGGTAAGGTTCTACCACTTTCATTTTGATCAGGGTATATTCTTGAGGTCCTACACCCTAAGGGCCAATAGACAAACAGTGAGTTCAAGACTTCTACCTCCACCACCCATGGGTACTTCAGAATCTGATCAGAAAAACTAGCCTTCATTTATTAAAGAAGGAAAAACTCAGTGTTCAATACCAACTCAGTACTAATCCTTCTAATGAATGCCTGTTCACTTAAGGAATGGTTATTATTCTATCAATATCATGGGCAAAATACATATAAACATCAATTATTCAATCAAGAAAAACCTCCATAATAAACATTAAACAATAAGTTCTCATTCTTTCTGAATAACTGACTTCACAACAGTTATAATAGTCCCCAAGTTATGAACAAGATAGGTTCTGTAGGTTTGTTGTCAAGTTTAATTTGTTTGTAAGTCAGAACAAGTACATTTTTTCAGTGTAACTCCAGCCATACATACACATACAAACAGACACACAACATGCTTTGGATAGCATCGGGGAGCCCCTGGTGGCACAGCGGGTTAAACCACTGAGCTGCTGAACTTGCTGACCAAAAGGTCGGCAGTTCAAACCCGGGGAGCGGGATGAGCTCCCGCTATTAGCCCCAGCTTCTGCCAACCTAGCAGTTCAAAAACATGCAAATATGAATGGATTGATAGGTACCACTCCAGTGGGAGGGTTACGACGCTCCATGCTGTCATGCTGGCCACATGACCTAGGACAGGTCTACGGACAATGCCAGCTCTTTGGCTTAGAAATGGCAATGAGCATCACCCCTCAGAGTCAGACATGACTAGACTTAACATCAGGGGAAACCTTTACCTTTACCTAACACCCCTGCAGTGTTTGTTTTGCTGTCTGTGTCCCTGCTCAAAAGATTTCTCTGCACTTTCTGTCCCTGTGATAATTTTATTTTGAAAAAAAAATGGCTTGTTGTGGAAACAAGGATTGGTGAGGAAGTTTCAGTTTAGACATGTTTTCCCCATGATAACTCTGACAGGAGTGAATTTCCCTTCCGAGGGGTAGATTTATTTATTTATTTATTTATTTATTTATTTATTTATTTATTTGCTGCATTTGTTGACCGCCGCTCTCAGCCCTGGGGCGACTTGCGGCGGTGTACAACATATAAAAACAGTCCACAATAAAGCACAACAAGAAATCAACATATCAATATTACACACTAATCTAAATTACACTAACTAATCCGCGCCGTCACAACATAGAATCATAGCCAATCTCATAGTCCATATTCCGTTCCAGTTGTCATTACCAGTTAAAGTAGCACTCAGTTAAATGCCTTCTCAAATAGCCAGGTCTTTAGGCTCTTACGGAAAGCCATAAGGGAGGGCGCCTGTCTGATGTCAACAGGGAGGGTGTTCCACAGCCGGGGGGCCACCACCGAGAAGGCCCTCTCTCTCGTCCCCGCCAGACGTGCCTGTTGTTTCACCCCCATTCTTAACTGTAAGTCCTTGGTAAGTTGGATGATTCTAACTTGGGGACTGCCTGTATCTACTTTAAATAGTCTTATAATTTCAGCATGCAGATCCCAATATTATATCTATATTTGCCTTAATGCCCTTTAGGTTCTCCTTTAGATATTAAAGATAATTAAGAACATATTCTGCTATGACAGATTCAAGTCAGGCTTGTCTTTATGCAAATATTAAATTTAAGAAATATATATTTAAGAAATATACTGTAAAATGTTGGAGTTTATTTTGTTCTTTCCACATAATGTTCATATAGTTCTGTCCCGATTTTTAAAAATAAAATATCAAAAAAAGCAGTATATAAAAACATATAAAATCAGTTTATCCAAAGATTACAAAGCACATTTAACAAAGGATGCAAAACTCAGGATATTCATCATTACATCTATTCGCAACATAAAGAAGAAACTAAATGTGCAGGTGATTTTCAATTAGCCCTTTCATAGGGATATTAAACAGCACAGGGGACAAGGGCTGAAACCCAAAGCTTCATATGGAAGCCTTCATGGAGCTTCCAGTGAGATCAAACAATATGTCCCATCAACAGCTAACCTTGCAAGGAAGAGAAGAACTACGGTAAAGACTGCCATAATTCTCAACTCAGAAATCTGTTCCAAAAGAATATCGTAATTGGTAGTATATAAAGTCACTGAGAGGTCAAGGAACATCAATAAGAATACAATACAGGATCAACTTTCAAAGAAAACCCAAAGTGACTCAGTGCTAAAACTGTATCCAAAACCTGGCTGAAACAAAAGCCATTGTGTTGTTGTTGTTTATTCGTTCTGTTGCTTCCGACTCTTCATGACCTCATGGACCAGCCCACACCAGAACTCCCTGTCGGCCGTCACCACCCCCAGGTCCTTCAAAGTCAGGCCAGTCATTTAATATGTAAAGGGAAATGGAACCCAACAGTCAAAGAGAATGTAGAGATTATTTCCTCAAAAACTCCTTTTCTCTCACATGTCCAAGTGCCATTTCCCATGGTTTTCTATTTGGTACATGTTTAGATCCAGTTATTGCCCGCTTTTCCTTCTCAATTCCTTCTCCGTTCAAAGACAGTGTATCATTAGACATTGAACATTTCTTACCTCCCCAGTTTGCCTGTCATGGTCCATGCATGGTTGTCCATCTTTGGGTGAATAAATAGTATATCTAAAAGACAAAAGAAAACATTACTTAGCTGTATAGCCAGAGACTGAGAAACACATTGTGTCTTGAGATCCTAATGCTAACATATATGCCACCAAAAGTTGCCACCTAGCAGGGTGCTGTGCAGAATGATTCCAAGAAAGCTTTTAGTCACCCTCCTATGGACTCACTCCAGCTTGTCAAGGGAAATGTTGACAAGCTGGAATGTGTCCAGAGGGGGAGTGATTAAAAATGATCAAGGGTCTGGAGAACAAACCCTATGAGGAGCGGCTTAAAGAGCTGGGCATGTTTAACCTGCAGAAGAGAAGGCTGAAAGGGGACATGATGGCCATGTATATATATGTGAGGGGAAGTCATAGGAAGGAGGGAATAAGCTTGTTTTCTGCTGCTCTGGAGTCTAGGATGTGGAACAATGGCTTCAAACTACAGGGAAGGAGATTCCACCTGAACATTAGGAAGAACTTCATAACTGTGAGAGCTGTGGAACTCTTTGCCCCAAAGTGTAGTGGAGGCTCCTACTTTGGAGGCTTTTAAACAGATGCTGGATGGCCATCTGTCAGGGGTGCTTTGAACGTGATTTTCCTGCTTCTTGGCAGGGGATTGGACTGGATATCCCATGAGATCTCTTCCAGCTCTAGGATTCTAGGATTCTAAGTTGCTATTCAGAACAAAACTAATGGGTAATATTCATTTTTTCTATCTTTACTTCCTCTTCTGAAGAAACTCTACAAATTAGGTCACCATTACAGAATGCTATAACCCGATTTATTTCTGTACAGATTATCGACATTTTCAGCTATTCAAGAAGGAGCTATGCATCCTCATCATTATGTAATCAACATTCTGCCCATTTAGGAGCAAGTATGCAAAATATAATTTATAATGTGACTGCACATTATGATTGTTGCATCTATTTATTTAAAAGCCTTGAACTAGTAACCATAGTTTTGGACAAGGCAAGTGTCACTACCACAACACTGATGTATCAAATCCACATTAAGGATATCTGGGCATTCTGCCAAATTCCAAAGACAGTAAGTGTATTTATATGCCCTGGAGAAATATAATCAAATAATCCCATCAGCAAACTTTATGGAACAGAGCAAGCAGGTAAGCCAGGAGCCTTTAGTCAACTCCCACTTTTATAGAATGGAAACATCAATAAAATATACTTACCGTTTTCCAAATTTTATTTTATTTCTTTCTCTCAGAGTGAGAAACTGCCATCGTACAAAGGAATCATAATAAAGGTTGACATCAGTGGTAACAAAAGAACGCCTCCAATCAACCTGGAAATTCATAAAAAGAATAGTCTAATCATGTTTCCAAACTTTCTGTCAAATACTGAAATGCAATTAGGAGTTTCCTTTTTCACTTGTAGGACATAAGTCACGACTGTTGTGAAAGTAATTCTTGGTGCACAAGAGGGCTTTAGATCCTAATTTCTTGTTCAGTTGGAAAATAACTTTTAAAATGGGGATGGAGAACAGCTCTCCAGTTGTTGGATTACAACACTCATCACCTCTCATCATTAGCTATACTGGCTAATTGCAGTCTGAAAGCTTCTGGAGTGCCATTCTGATGTTTTAAAATCTTTTCAGAAGTGGAGTGTGACATAGCACAGTCATTAGCTGTACAATGAGGGGAGAAATGAGCTCTCACAACAAGGCTAGCCAGGAGCCTTGCATGAGCCTGAACAACACTCAGACATCTAGCAGCACTAATTGCTCTATTTGATTCCAGTTCTAAAAAGCGATTTCACCAAAAGTAATCACCATTTTTCAAATGCTGTCATAAACAGCCAGATATATTTACTCTGTAACCTTTGATTATATTGGGCTACTAGTCCCCATGTAAGCCGCCCTGCGTCATTTCAGGGAGATGGGATATAAGAATAAAGTTGTTGTTGTTGTTGTTGTTGTAGTAGTAGTATTTAGGAAATGCTCTTACATATCATTTAAATGTATGTGATTAAATATTTTATTATAAAAGCCTACAGCTTAACATAAAAATTACAGAAACACACAAAGAAAAAAAAAGATCTTGGATCATCAACCTGAGACAAACATTACTTTTCAAGAAGAGTTTCAGAAAGAACGTAACATGTACCTTGAGCCCCATACTCTTTAAATCTTGAATGGCTAAAGGCGGGAAATAATCAAGCCAATGCTCAGCTTCTGAGARCTTCACTATTTCTTCATCAGAAAGGCCTAAAGATTTCATGATTCCCCACTGGTACTTTGAAGAGCCAGTTTTGGCAGCAGCCTTACTCTTTAAAGGAAATGAGAAAGAAAGTTAACCTTGCTTACTTATGTTCGGAAGAACTTTGAGACAATTAATCAAATTAATGTAAAGAATGCAGGTTACATAAGTTCACTACATTTTTGTTTACATTTAAGAATAATTTATGCAAGTGTAACCACTGTATCTCTGCAAGGCAAATAATCTTCCAAAAGCATAAAGCTCCCTTTTAAGTGGCCAGCTCAGGCCACATCTAAGAATAATGTTTTTTCTCTCTCTGCAAGTCCACTTGTTGAAGAGCAAGAGAGGGGAGAGGGGAGGGATGGGGGGAAAATGCAGGTAGAACTAAAGACTTCCTCCCCACTTTTCAGTCTGACCTCATCTACTAGAAGAAAACAGCCAACAAATTTCCCCTACAGGAATGCAGCTCCCACATGAGGAAAAAAGATGCCACGCTAATGCTTTAAGATGCACCTTTTTGCCTTTAGCCTTGTCTTTGATGACAACTTCTTCCTCCTTGGAGTCGTCCTCCTCTTCTTCTTCTTCATCGGGGAATTCTGGTGGGCAGCCATACAGCTCCATTTCTCTTTTCAGTTTATCTGCACATGCCTATGGGAAAATCCAGAGTGGCTAAGTAACTGTAACACAAGCAACAATTTATACAAATAAATGTCAGGATCAAATCAGTTCACTATATAGAATTTATCTGAATGCCTCTCTGGGGCAACATTACATTTAATAATAGTGTACAAGTCTTAGGTTGATGTCCAAAAATGTGGTTCGTTGGCTCACTGAGAATGAGGACATTCATTACAATGGGACCTCAACCTTCTTGCTTCCCAAGGAGATAAGGGGCAGGAGTCAGCTCTTCATCTCCCTCATCCCAATTCTGGCAAGTATAAGGAAACAGGATCTGTCTGAGTCTTCCTGCTCAAATGAAGCTATTCTCTCCTTTACCATTCCCTTTAGAGAACCCAGTATTATCTCCTACACTCTTCTAGAGGGCCACCAACCTTCCAAAGTACCAGAAGTATTATCCATACTAAGGTGTGGAGGACAAATTGGGAAACAGGGGGAAAAACTGCCCTTTTCTCCTTTCCTCCACCATCAATGGGACCCTGCTTGGTCCACGTCTGGACCTAACTAATTCATCAGGGCTAGTTACAGGGACCAAATAATAGCTACATTGATATTTACATATAAGCCTCAGTTTTAATATCCAAAGGAGAAGGCCTTTCTCAGTCTGACCACTGATGAAAAAATGGAGATAATCTTCTTTGTGGCTCTTAGGCTGTTGCACTCTCACAAAAAGTAGTTCTGATTTTCTTCCACAACCAGACATTTTTTTTAAAAATAGCCTTTTACTGTTTACTAGTCTTTTAATGGAATGGGGCCTGCTTACTGTTATTTTCACAATTATGCTCAAGTGCTTTTAATGTGATAGCTCTTTAAAAATCTTTTTTATAATCATTTCTAAAGATATATGTCATCTACAAAAACCGAGGGGATATAAAAAACAGAATGTGGGTTTATAGTTCAAAAACTATAATAAAAAAGCTATAGGTCATGCCCACATATTTGGGAACAATTAATGAGACTCTATTAATTCCAGCATATCACTTTAAGCAAACAAGCAAAATATGAGCAACTGCTGTATCATCCACATGAGCAATAGTAGCAAGAGCAGGTAATCATTTCCCATGATATGAAAGACTTTCTCAGACCTTTCACCTCAACATTAATAGGATTTGTACATTACACGCTGCTTGATCTCAGTCCTAACATGTAGCAGGCAAATGTCAGTTAAAATTATTCCTTAGAACAAAAAAGGGGTGTTGTCTCAACTGGAGAATGAACTGCCTTGTCTATATACAGAAAGCAAAGCCTTAATTTTACCTTAATGGGCATCCCAGTACAATGCAACCCAAAAGGGAAGAGGCAAGCTTTTCCTTTTAGCTTCTGGAATCCAATTGCAAACTGTATGAAACACAAGAATATCAGCAAGTATTAAGCAATAACAGACTGGGAGAAAGGAAGAGGGGTCAGACACTAGTCGGTGGATTAGGACCTATAAGAACAATTTGTATTAAGTGGTGAAAGGCTAAAATGTTTGGAAAACACACTGTTCCCTTAGGTAGATTGTGCATAGATACTATATAGATTGTGAAAGGAATACTAAAAGTAAAAAACATCATTCTAACTCTATAATTAGAGATTGAAGCAATAAAGTATAGACAATATTTTATGTATTTATTTTTGTTTACTTTTATCCTACCGTTCTCTCAGTATAGGGACTCAAGATGGCTATATAGTACCTGAAACATTATTTGAGGAGTGGGTTTCAGGGGAAGGTAATGAAGATGTAACAAAAATCACATTTCAAGAGAGCAAGAAGAAATAATCAAGTTGTACTTGTACAGCAAAGCCTAGAGAAGACAATTATGCTGGGGAAAGTGGAAGGCAAAAGGAAGAGGGGCCGACCAAGGGCAAGATGGATGGATGGCATCCTTGAAGTGACTGGACTGACCTTGAAGGGCCTGGGGGTGGTGACGGCCGACAGGGAGCTCTGGCGTGGGCTGGTCCATGAGGTCACGAAGAGTTGGAGACGACTGAATGAATGAACAACAACAACTTGTGTAATACACAATTTTTTCTAGTTATTTAAAAAAATAAAAGCATTTTGAGAGATATTTTTAAAGTGGATATCTATTTCTTAACAATTTTAAATATCCCTCATCACGAAAGAAACAAACAGTATGATTACTTGTCCAGGATTGGAAAGCACATTGCTTTATTTTTCACATATTTCAATAAGTAATGGGAATGAAGGATCTCTCAAAATCCTATTTACAGCAAATAAAGTAGAAGCAGTCATAGGTTGCATCTATACTGTAGAATAAATGTAGTCTATCACCACTTTAACTGCTATGGCTGAATGCCATGGAATCATGGAAGAAAAAGTCATAGAGAATTCCTAGCTTGTCTCCTCATTTGCCATTGTGGAATGTAATGTATGTTTTCCTTGAATCTGCAGAGAAAAGAAAACATTATTTCTGAAGGATGAAAGTGTGAATACACACTCAGAAGGCTTAAAGGCTAAAATGACAAATAATCTTCTTTTCTTTTCTTTTTTTTTGGAAGGGCATGTAGAAACAGCTAAAAGAGGAAAAAATAATACTTACCTCACACTTAGATAAAGAAAATGTGTGTCCTAGGTGAAGCCGGCCATTCATGTATGGGTACGGAAAGGTGGCAAAGTATTTCCCATTGCTGCGTAAAGATTACAAAACAAAAGAACATATCATAATTTAAAACTTAAACAACAAGATGAATTCAGTAATCCAACATGCCATTGCTAGGTATCATAATGCTTAAGTATTTCAATAAAACAAAATATTGGTGTAGATGAGATTTCATGGACCGCATTTTTGGACTGATTTGGAGAACATTTGAAACCTGGTGAACTGTTTTTAAATGTATATTTATTATCATTTTATGTAACTGTGTATTAGTGTTTTTATATTGTTGGAAGCTGCCCTGAATCCCTCTTCGGAGGTCGAGAATAGGACCCGATAAAATGTTCTAAATAAATAAATAAATAAATAAACAGAATACTATAAAAATGTTGAGTATTGAAAAGAATGACAACAATACACCATGGGTTGCTACATCTGAAACAAATGCAGCAACCCACATACAAAGGGATTAAAATTTGATTAAAACAAGTCTCAATCAAGAGGTAAAAATGGGATTTAAAGAAGTATAATAATAATATAATAACACCAAATTTAATTTAATGGAATAGGAGTTTTCATTACTCTGCACCCAAACTATATCAAGCTTTGCACAAGAAGACATGCTTGCTCAGATATAGATAGATCCCTCATGCCCAACGTCTTTGTATTTGTGAGTCCAGGGAAAAAGAGGATTTAACACACTATCTGTTATATTGCCCTTTGTATTATGGCCCTCGAAACAATCTTCTGGGAGCCCTTTTGGAAGAAAGGGCAGCATGGCAACAGCCAGCAGTTATCTGTGACTTGTTAGTGGATTATTCAAAAATATAACATTAAAGGTTACCACATTTGCCGTCGCAGCCCAAAAAATCCGAGCTAAATTAGTAAAGTCCACAGTGGAGGCCAGAAATGGAAATGGAGATAGTTTGGGATAATACAAATCAGGCATTTGTAATTGTTATCATTTATAATTTTATAGCGCCAGTATATGGAACAAGTTTTAATATTTATATTTGAAAGTGCGTATTGTACTGTTAAAGGTTGTATATATTATGTCATAGCCTATGGCTAGTACAATAAACCATTCATTCACTCAAACTTCTTGCTTTACAATGATAATGGACAGAAGTTACAACAGTGATGCAACAATGCAGTACAAACTACAAAACTGTACAGAAAAGCATGATTCTTAGCTTCAGTTTCATCTCAATACAGCTTCTAGATTTTGATCTATGTCTTTTTTAGGACAATATCACAAATATATAAGAGGAAGAAGATTATATACTTTTTATGTTGAACTTTGGTAAGAAAATCTAAAGAAGTGTATATATTGGTTGACCAAAATGTATTATTGATCCATTACACTGTATCACTTATAATTGTAGTCTGCACTGTTGAAAAACATTCTCTTTCCAATGGAAAGGAAACTAGAACTAATCATTCATATTGGTAACTAACAGAAATAACTTCGCAGGCAAAGTAAAAGCCCACAACAAAAAGTACCATATCTTGGTATCTCATTATATGTTCACACAATTTACCACTATCAAGTGTACTGCTTAGCGAAGCATTTGGCTTAGCCACTGTTCTCTCAGATTAGATTCTAACTGAGGTTTTACACAAGATCTGACCTTTGGCTTTCCTAGTCCATTAGGAAAGACTGAAATGTTGTCGGTGGATCTCAGAATGCCCCTTCTGGTGGAGCTAGGATCCCTCAATAATGGTGCAATGCCCTGTCCACTTTGTAGCAAAAGGAGCCAGGCTTTAGGTCCTGCAATATGATCAGATTTATATCCAGCAATTTCTGTGTGACCCCTACCATCTGTGAGCATACTACTATGTAGAAGATTAAACCCAGAAGTTGCATAGCTAATCCAAAGCTAAACTGATTTTCTGCTGACGTCAACATTCTTTTAAGTCACCATCTTGAAGACTGAAATGGTTGTAGAGATAACATTATGCAGTACTCCTGTACAATCATCAAATCTTCCTCCAGTGTTCTGTGACCTTTAAAAACTGTACTCTTACCTTTTTCGGCTAGCAGCATCTGAAGCATTAACCTCAAACGCTCCCTCATCCTCCCATTTCTGTTGGATTTCCTTTTCGATCTTCTTCAAGAAGTCTACTTTAGCTGTTCCCTTCCGCTCCTTAGAAGAGAATAAAATTGTCTTATTAAAAAGTTTGGATTAATTAACTTTTAAATGTCAATCCAAACTCTTGCCAGAATATTGTACAGGAACCGTTCCAGTTTACACAGAATTTAAAACAATCTAAGCCTGGACATTTAACGCCACAGTGCTCAGGAAGAAAATACCACTTATACAAAGTTAAAGTCTAATACATTAAAGAAAAATAATGAGAAAGCACTCGGCACTCCTATCCACCTTTTCAAATGAGTTCAAATTCATTTTACTTTGTTGTATCACAGAGATTACAAAATGTCAAAGCTTGCTAATCTGATAATGTATTCACAAATTACTGCTATGCTTTGAAAACATCCATTATCACCTGGATGATTTTATCTTGAACCCCCATTAATGGATAGACAGATAACAGATCAATTATGTGAATAGGAAACAAGTAAATCCATGCAAATATGACATGTTTCACTCCACTAAAATACATTTATTAGTGCGGGTTGACAGCACTTGTGATTTAGTACTGAGCTAAAAAAATGCCTCTTTAAAAATAGCAGCATCATTTGACAATATATAGAGCAAGCTGTTCAGATTTCATTTCAGAGAATGTGCCTGTGCTACGTGAGAATCAGAATCCTAGCAATAATCTTTGTTGCTGGTTATGAATTATGATGTGTTAAGGTAGCAGTCAAAAATATGTATTATCACATAAAATAATAAACATGACATCAGATTTTTTTTGTAAAAGAAATACATGGGAAATGCTGTGTTGAACATACTCCTTATGCAAGCTGAAGCCCTTAGGCATTTTCACAAAGGCTTAATTTGAATGACCATTAGCTTATATCTCACTCTTCGCAAACCATCTCAATTTGCAGCATTGCTATTCAGGAGCACTGAACTGAGGCAGTTCTGTTTTAAATTTCATAAGAAAAACTAGAAGGCTTGATTCTATTTTTTTTTCTCTTTTCAATCACTGTTTGGAACAAATAAAATTACTTGTCACATTTATATGCTCTCTCTCACAGTGTGGGACAGAGGGCATTTCATGAACAATAACACAAAATCAGCATATTATAATAAAAACAAATTAAAAGCAAAAATCAACAGACACAAAAGCTGGTATCAATATGGCAAAACAGAATTTCACTCAAAACTAGCAAGATGTGACACAAGTAGTGACATATGGGAGGGTCTGTGTATCATAATGGCCTCTTCTATTAAGACTTCTGTACTTTTCTGTATATTATGTACACAAAAATACATTTCCCTTAAGAAGTGATTCACTGCACCTTCCAAAAGGAAATTGAGCATTGTCCCTAGCACAGCATTAACACTTATACCATAGGAATGAACTTAAGCATTTACTTTCAAGGCAAAAGGTAAAGAGGGCATGAGAGGTGCCATCATGGATAGGGTGCCAACATTGCAGGTGCTAAACAGGGTGTCCATCAACAGTATGACATTTTAAAGTTTAAGGGTTTTCTTTATTTTGTGAACTGGCTTATGCCTCTGAATACTGATGCTTCCTTAACAAATTGTTGTTTCTAAAGCAAATTAACTGAAAAGGTTTTATCCTGGCAAAAAATATGACCAAACTGATAATATGCCCATTTATTGCTTGCTATATATGAACTGGGAAGACAAAAGACTTTAAACATACAGACACTTTTGGTGAAGTTTCATGAAGACGACTCAAGCGTGGTATGGCATGATGTCATAACAAAACATTTAATTACAAAATACTTGACAGAATGGAACCAGTCTGCTCCATGTGGACTGACAGCACAGTTAACCTAAAGGGACTATCATCAGTCATACATTTTGTCAACTGGGCAATCTTGGCGGCTTTAAATTAGGGACTGAAGTGTTATGTAAGCTTAGAAACAATCTGACAGTTGTTCCCGATTAGTGAAGCATGGATGCTTCAAACCCAGCCTGTCATATTATGGCTAACAAGGCAGGGAAGTGTCAAATCATAACCAAAACATCAGACTGAGCACGTCTGAAGGAGTTAGCTGTGATTCCACAGTAAGAGGCAGATTGCATCCCAGAGGGTCATTATAATCCATTCGGAAGCAATAGGAAATTTCCAAGGGGAAGTAACCAAAGTCAGGGGCTTGGGGAAAAAAACCAACAAGGGATTTCACTTTTGGTTCTTCACTTTTCACGATTTGCTATTACTCTATTGTTCTGTTCTGCTTTTCTTTTATGTCTTTTCTTATGTAACTAGAAAACTTGCACAATAAAAATAATTCAAAAAAAAAAAACAAGGGATTTCACAAGGAATGTTATCAGAAGCCAACCTCTGGGAATAAGTTTTTCATAAAATTGTGTTTCCTTTATCTTGCATGTCCAAGAAGAGATACCTATTCTAGGAACTTATGATCATAACAAACCAACTGGATAAGCAAACACTATAAAGCTAAAAAAGTAGCTAAAAAGGAAGATAATACTGCAAAAAGCAGACGCATAACACACCACAGTACTTTCATTTGTCATCTGAATGAATGCATTCAAGAAAGTATCTAGATAGTTCTTCGACAGTGACTCCCAAATCTGACTAACTAGTTATAAGCCTCAACATGTCTTCCTATACATTGTATAGGGCGGGGAGAGAAAAACATCAAATTAAATAAATAATTAATACTCTCCCACTGATTTCAATGTATGAACAGGACCACAGAGAAACAACAGTCCTTCAGGTACCCAGGTCTCAAACTCTTGGCTATGATCAGAAGTATGACACTAGTATGGAAGCATATCGAAAAGATAATGCCATGATTACAGAACACAGGTAATATGCCAAAGACAAAGGTTCCCCATTTCCAGGGCCACAGGTCTTATTATTATCTTGGAAGAGGTACTTAACATATCCACAGATATCTCAAAGGGATAGTTATGTTAGAGTGTCGGAGCTGTGTGGTGTAGATTCAGCACTGCTGCTGCCGGCGCCTTCTCCTATTGCACTATATCAGTGCAACAAAAATTAATCTACTACATTGTCAGCTGGAAAGAGTTATAAAAATAATACAGCTCTCCTTATCTTGAAGGAAGATTTAGAAGTATTCCAAAATTAGGTAGTATCTGGCTGTAATCAGATTGATGACACTGCCCTTGACTATGGAAATTTGCTACATACTGGCAGCCATTGGTTCATGGACCAGGACAAAGATTGGATGACAGGCCAACATTTTGAATAGAACGAATTTAGGCTATTATTTATTTATTTACGACATTTATATGCCGCACTTCTCACCCTGAAAGGGACTCAGAGGAGCTTACAAGTAAAATGTAAATACAATATATTATTACCACAGCACACTATTTACATTATATATTACAATATTGTACTATAACATTATACTGTAATATTATTAGTAATATTAATATAATATAAAATATATAATTATAATATCATATTATTAGTAGTAGTATTATATTGTATTGTATCTATATAAATAAAAATGTAATGTTTGTTTGTGGGATTTACAGAACTCAAAAACCAGTGGGCGAAATAACACCAAATTTGGATGGCATACACCTAACAACCCAATGTATGTCCTTCACTCAAAAAAAATGATTTTGTCATTTGGGAGTTGTAGTTCTTGGGATTTATAGTTCACCTACAATCAAAGAGCATTCTGAACTCCACCAATGATGGAACTGAACCAAAGGTGACACACAGAATTCCCATGACCAACAGAAAAGACTAGAAGGGTTTGGTGGGCATTGACCTTGAGTTTGGGAGTTGTAGTTCACCTACATCCAGAGAGCACTGTGGACTCAAATAATGATGGATCTGGACCAAACTTGGCACAAATATTCCATATGCCCAAATATGAACACAGATGGAGTTTGGGGAAAATAGACCTTGACATTTGGGAGTTGTAGTTACTAGGATTTATAGTTCACCTACAACCAAAGAGCATTCTGAACCCCACAAACGACAGAATTGGGGCAACTTTCCCACACAGAACCCCCATGACCAACAAAAAATACTTAAGGCCATCCAGTTAAGGCCATCCACCAGGGCAAGAAAATCTAATCAAAGCCCTCCTGACAAACAGCCATCCAGCCATAGATATAGATAGATAGATATGATTCACACACAGAAAGATATAATATCATAGATTTGAAAGGGACCCCTAAAGAAGGACAATGATATGTTGCATATTCCAGAGTAGGCAAACCAGACACTCTCCACATCAACACTGACAAAGAGACAACAAGAAATACTGTTTACCCACAAGCATAAAGAAATTACATAGATTAGAAACCATTACTTTATTTTCCAGATCACCAGACTGGGCCACAGCAACCTGTGGCAGGGGACGGCTAGTTATATTATAATATTATCAATATTATATGTATATACAGTATATTATATTATTAGCACAGTGCAGGAGACAAGATGGAACTGCCTTCCTGGTCCCTCTTTTCACTCTCATCTCAGGGCAGCAGTTGGTGCTGGAGTGGGGGGGGGGGCTCCCAACTGATGACACTGGAGGCAAGATGGAACTGCCTTCATGGCTATGACATCTACAATCTTGTGTCACTGGTCAAGCTGGATGAAACAGATGAGAGCTGCAGATTCAAAATTCTGGACATCTAAAGGTTCCTCACCCTGAACTCATGCTATATTGGTCTCAACCTGCTGAATTATATAGGCTATTATAATTTTGTTGAATTCCAACTCACAAATAAGAAAGTGTGCAGTGGGGATTCAAAGCAGTGGGGATTTAAATGGCAGATTATTTCTGATCTCTCAATTATTTGGGTGAACAATCTATGGCAAATTTCATCTCGTTAGGGTGACCAGAAGGAGGAACATAGATCCAAGGTCTTTATCAGCTGAAAAGGAGACAATGTTAGCAGTGAAGCGGCTAAATGATAGTGTATCCTTGCTATACAAGTGTTGCATCATTCTCCGCTGCAAGCTGCCTTTGACACTTATAGAAAATATGCCTCTTTCCTACAATACTCATTCCACTGGCAGATGTCATGTTCATGGAAGTGGGTAAGACTCAAGAGGGACGACCTGCGTAATTGGGTATTTTGGGATATGTGCTGTAGTTGTTTCAGTTGGGACTACGATTCTAGAGACCAAAATTCGAATCCTCTCTCAGCCATGAATCCCAATGGGTGACCTTGGGCAAGCCACGCTCTGATTCAGAGGGTGGCAGTGGCAGACATGTTCTGAACAAATATTGTCAAGAAACCCTGTAACAGGTAGGCTTGTCCAAGGATTTGTTTTGGCCATTTGCCTTCAGTTTGTTCAGAAGCCAGTAACAGCATGGGCTCCACCATCATTTTTTTACCGGCTAGAACAGAACAGTAGCCATCAAAAACCAGCTACTTCAAGTTCTTTCAGTTACACGTTGAGTGCTGGGAGGGAGAATGGTGCTAGAAGAAAAAGGATCCCAGGAAGCAAGATTTCTTAAGCCCTTCCTTTAAACCAGTGGTTCTCAACCTGTGGGTCCCCAGATGTTCTGGCCTTCAACTTCCAGAAATCCTAACTGCAGGTAAACTGGCTGGGATTTCTGGAAGTTGTAGGCCAAAACATCTGGGCACCCACAGGTTGAGAATCACTGCTTTAAACCCAAGTCTCCTTGAAAGACAGAAGGGAAAGGATTCCAAGAAGCTAGGATGTAAGGACAAACTATGCCTAAAATGACAGGAAGGGAGTCTAGGAAGCCTCCCCCCCCCCCCAATTGCTGCCAATGAGCCAGATTGAAAATGAATTTTTGGCTTCCCAGATCAAAAATATATTTCTATAATCCCAAATTTGGGGGCCTTCTGAAAAACGGAGCAAGACCCCTACTGAAATCTGGGACACTGAAACGGATTGCAGTTTACACGGATTGCACAAGTCTAGTAACAGGTTCAGATTAGGGCCACCATAGACTGAAAACAACTGTAAGGCATACAATATCAAGAGATTCTTTAAGAAAGATATCCTAAATCCGTCTTCATGATCTCTTAAACACGGTCATGGGTTTAATCCAATGGGAGTAATATTGCCATCATTGTCAACAACTTTTTGTTGTTAATTGCCATCAAGTCGACCTCATCTTATGGCAAACCCATGAGAAAGGGCTCCAAGACACCTTTTTCATCAACAGCCCTGCTCAGATCTTGCAGATTCCAGATTATGGCTTCCATTGAGTCTGTCCATTTGCAGGGCTGTCTTTTTTCCTACCATCTTCTACCTAACAAAGCGTTATTGCCTTTTCTAGTGTGTCATGCCTTCTCGTGATATAGGAAACGTACAAGCATCTCATTTTAATAATCTTGGGGTCCTCGTGGACAACAAGTTAAACATGAGCAAACAATGTGATGCGGCAGCAAAAAAAGCCAATGGGATTTTGGCCTGCATCAATAGGAGTATTGTGTCTAGATCCAGGAAAGTCATGCTACCCCTCTTTTCTGCTTTGGTTAGACCACACCTGGAATATTGTGTCCAATTCTGGGCACCACAATTGAAGAGAGATGTTGACAAGCTGGAATGTGTCCAGAGGAGGGTGACTAAAATGATCAAGAGTCTGGAGAACAAGCCCTATGAGGAGAGCTGGCTTAAAGAGCTGGGCATATTTAGCCTGCAGAAGAGAAGGTTGCGAGGAGACATGGTAGCCATGTATAAATACGTGAGAGGAAGTCATAGGGAGGAGGGAGCAAGCTTCTTTTCTGCTTCCCTGGAGACTAGGACGCCGAACAATGGCTTCAAACTACAAGAAAGGAGATTCTACCTGAACATTAGGAAGAACTTCCTGACTGTGAGAGCTGTTTAGCAGTGGAACTCTCTGCCCTGTAGTGTGGTGGAGGCTCCTTCTTTGGAAGCTTTTAAGCAGAGGCTGGATGGCCATCTGTCGGGGGTGCTTTGAATGCAATTTTCCTGCTTCTTGGCACGGGGTTGGACTGGATGGCCCATGAGGTCTCTTCCAACTCTTTGACTCTATCTTGACTAGTTCATTCCTGATTTGTTCCAGACTGATCTATTTGTTCTTCTCCAGCATGTTCATGAGTCTAAAGCAGGCATGGGCAAACTTGGGTCCTCCGGGTGTTTTGGACTTCAACTCCCACAATTCCTAACAGCCTGCCCATGCCTGCTTTAGAGCCTATTCCAAACCATCTGGCCTTAAAACAACAAGAAGAAGCCTTTAGCGAGCTTTCCTGACCAGAAACACTCAACGAGGAGAGTCCCAAGTGAATGAAAGTATCCCGGGGCAGCAGCGTGGGCTGTGGCTGCGGCCTTAGAGGAGCTGCCCAACCCGCCATCGTGCCTCTCCGCCCCAACTCAACCCCAAGCGGCCCAAACATTCACCGTCATCGCGCTTTGACACTCCGTCTGCCGACAGCTGCTCACTCTTCTCCTCCACTCCACGCCGCCGGTCCTCCCACAATGCAACAACTAGTAGATGCAATCCGGGTTCCGCGCAAAGGCCACTGGGAAATGCAGTTCACATGGCACCCAGGCGTGCACTGACGACGGCACGTCGAACTACGACTCCCGGCATGCACAGCGCTGGCCGCTCGCTGACTGTGCATCCTCACCTCCAGCCCATTCCTGGGATTGAATACTATGATTCCCATGATGCACTGCGGTTGGGACGTTCCAAAAAAATAGGAGGGGGAGCCACAGAACTTAACTCTTGATGGGATGAACCTGTGAGAGGGAGAGTGTTCTCATTGGCAGCTTTCGGAGGATCTTTGATTTCTGCTTCCTGTGATACATGTGCTTTTGCTCTCAAGGACTCGCTGCTGTTTGGATCCCTCGCTGAGAAGGAATGCTGCCAATGTATGTTGTCTGCAGACATTCCGAAGAACTTCTTTCGGTGGGTTGCTGTGAGTTTTCCGGGCTGTATGGCCATGTTCCAGAAGCATTCTCTCCTGACGTTTCACCCGCATCTATGGCAGGCATCCTAAGAGGTTGTAAGGCAGTGTTTCTCAACCATCCTAATGCCATGGCCCCTTAATACAGTTCATGTTGTGGTGACCCCCAACCATAACATTATTTTCGTTGCTACTTCATAACTGTAATTTTGCTACTGCTATGAATCATAATGTAAATACCTGATATGCAGGATGTATTTTTATTCATTGGACTACATTTGAACAAATACCCAATATGGCCACATTTGAATACTGGCGGAGTTAGGGGAGGGGTTGATTTTGTCATTTGAGAGTTGTATTTGCTGGGATTTATAGTTTACCTACAATCAAAGAGCATTCTGAACTCCACCAACGATGGGATTGAACCAAACTTGGCTCACAGACTAATGACCAATAGAAAATACTGGAAGGATTTGGGCATTGACCTTGAGTTTTGGAGTTGTAGTTTACCTCGATCCAGAGAGCACTGTGGACTCAAACAATGATGAATCTGGACCAGATTTCGCGCGGATACTCAGTATACCCAAATGTGAACACTGGTGTAGTTAGGGGAAAATAGACTTGACATTTGGGAGTTGTAGCTGCTGGGATTTATAGTTCACCTACAACAAAGAGCATTCTGAACCCCACCAATAGAATTGGGCCAAACTTCCCACACAGAACTCCCATGACCAACAGAAAATACAGTGTTCTGATGGTCTTTGGCAACCCCACTGACATACCCTCATGACCCCCCCAGGGTTCCCAACCCCCAGGTTGAGAAACACTGTTGTAAAATCTGTTGGAAACTAGGCAAGTGGGGTCTATATATCTGTGGAGTGTCCAGGGTGGGAGAAAAGCAAGTGTGAATGTTGCAATTGGCCATGAAAGCCTTCGACAACACATAGAACTTCTTTCGTTCTTTAACTTTTGGGATCTGAAGTTGTAGGAAGATTTCAGGATAGCTTTAGTTTAGGCATACATCTACACTGTGGAATTAGTGCAGTTTGGCCCCACTTTAATTGCCATTTATTTATATTTATTTATTTACTTTGCTTATATACCGCTGTATCTCAAGCCCGAAGGCGACTCACAGCGGTTCACAAACAGTAAAAACAGTAGAAACAGCAGTGGTTCCATACAACATATAACAATTGACTTAACACATTATCCATAAATTACCAATAAGCAATTACAATGCACAATTATTATGAAAAACAACTGTACCCAATCTTCTCATCATCTAATTGCCATGGCTCAATGCTCTTTGGCAAAGAAGGGCAAAACGAAAACTGTACTAATCCTGCAGTGGAGGGCCTCCCTCACAGGTGCTGCAAGTTTCTTTTGCATATCAATATTCCAAACAAACATGGCTACTTTGAGTTCCATCATAAGTACTGAAAGCAACTGTTCAACCTGAAAATTGATGTTCTTTTTAAAAAAGCAACAACAACCAGAAAATGGCTTCTACATCTGCTGAGAGAAATACACTGCCCAATTAATTGGACTGAATTAACCTGCTGCTAATTTTGTTGCACCTAGAGTCATGATTTGCATCTCTCTCAAGTTTTATTACAATTCCATCTCACTCTTACAACTGTGTGAGTATGCTTTGAACCTTGCTCTACTGTCTCTGAAGAAATCAACTTATATCCACAAAACTCATACCAAAATAAAATGCATAGGGAAGCTGATGAAGAAACATAACGTACAAATGATCTACAGAGCCATGAAGAAAATCCAACAAATGCTACATTCAACAAAGGCTAAGAGGCATCCTCTCACCTTTGCAGGAGTCTACCGTATACCATGCAGCTGTGGACAAGTCTGCAAATGCAGCACTGCTCAAACACAAATCAAGGAACATGAAAGGCACTGCAGACTCATTCAACAGAGAGCACCTGATGAACCAACCTGGACACAGCATATTATTTGAGAACACAGAAATGCTGGACCACTCCAACAGCCACCATGTCAGACTACACAGAGAAGCCATTGAAATCCACAATTGGGCCATTTAAACAGAAAGGAGGAAACCATGAAAATGAACAAAATCTGGCTACCAGTATTTAAAAAAAACTCTAAAATCAGGACAGTAAATAAAGAGGAACACTCAAAAGCAAGGGAATTCCAGACAAGAATAAACCAGGGCCAGCTAACACCTCCCAACAAAGGCTCCCCCAGGGAGCAACCAGCCAGGCTTTGACGATGCAAGGTCATTCAATGCTAACCAAGGTGGCCAATTGCAACATTCACACTTGCCTGAAACAGAGAAGTTCTTTCTCCCACCCTTTACTTTCCAGATATATAAATCTCACTTGCCTAGTTTTTAACAGACCTCGCTAACTCTGGGGATGCCTGCCATAGATGTGGGTGAAATGTCAGGAGGGAATGCTTCTGGGGCATGGTCATACAGTCCGGAACACTCGCAGCAACCCAATGATTCCGGCCATCAAAGCCTTCAATAATACAAAATAAAATACTGATTTGCCACTGCATTCCTTCTGTGTCTCTTTCATTCTACCCTCCTCCCTTTTTTATGCTCCAGGAGACTAGCATGGATGCTTCTTTGAAACTGTTTAAAAATTTGGCCATTTGAAATCTTGGGTGTAGCAAATCCACACGCACAAATCCTGAAACATTGAGACATAATCTAACCACACAGTTAAGCAGAATGAAGTCCAACTGATTTTTAAAAAAATGGGAAGAATATGCTTAAAAGATCAGTAGAGGTGTCAACAACTGTGGAGACTCCACACTTGCCCTCGCAAGCCAGCTGCTGATGTTGTCTTTGCACATGGGGTAATGTGAGAAATTGTAGTAGATCTCTGAAGCAGAGCATCTTTCTAGGCAGATGTTTAAACAGCTCACCAACCCACTCCACACACCGTATCTAGCAGAGAAGGAAATTGAACTTCATAAAGTACATAAAAGTGATCAACAGAGGTTCACCTTGATGAAAGGTAAAGAAGGAAGAATACTAGATGATATCAGAAAAGTTAGAGCAGCCAGAAAGAAATGTTTTCACATCTGTTTCATGGGCTAGATAAGGAGAGAACAATGTGAAAGCATATGAAATCATAGAGAACAAAGGGAAGTCTTTAGTGATGCAGGAAGAGAGTAGGTGTGAACGAACACTTGAACAGGAACTAATAAACATCCTGTGCCTTAACTTCTATATAGTGACATACAGTCAATAGTAGCCCACAGGCATACAGCAGTTGCTAGCTTGGATCAGTTTGACTTTGGAAAGACCATGCTCTGGGATTACATTCCTGTTGCCCTCTTACCTGGAAGTAAGAATCATTGACCACAATGAGACTCATTTCTAAGCAGACATATATAATTTTATTGTAAAAAAAATGTTTTGTGAAAACATACATTAGATAAAAAAGTATATACTGAACACATTAACATGACGAAATTGTACAGGGATCAAGATGTTCGTTCAATGTGTAGTCGACACAAGTATTCACTTATAATTCACTAAGAATTACTCCAGGTCCATCATAAAGACTTGAGGCCACAAGTTGTATTGCAAACAAAAACAAATAATTTTGCAACCTGGGTTGTACATCCTTTTCTAGGTCAGGCTATTATAATTATAGACCACACTATTTAATACATCAAATATTGAGAATTGCTTATATGGCTCCATTTAATGCAGTTTCAAATCAGTACTGAAGTGAAGTAGTTTCTTACTTGCAGATGATTACATAGGAAATTCTGGAACTAGTTGGAGGTCCCGATGGTAATTACACAAACCACAGAGCACTGATGTGCATTGAGGGCTATGTTTTGCAAGTTTTTTTTTGGGGGGGGGGGGGGGGGGGGGGGAGTTTGTTGTCTAAGTTCAAACTGCATTAAATGGTCACTATAGATGGGGCCTAAAAGGAGCAATATTTCCAAATGTGATTGTCAGCCATTGTATTCTAAGGAGGGATCTTCCCTTTCAGTCTATGGCCTGAGAAAATCAGAAGTCCAAAAAATTTTAATAGCCACCATTTAAAATAGTAACATGTATGAGTCACATATTATTATTAGTTTTAATCATATCCTGCTTTATCTCTCTAAAAAGAGATCCAAACCTGCTAACATTAACATTTACACAATATAATAATAATAATAATAATAATAATTTATATGCCATTTTTCTCCCTCAAGGGTCTGCACTGACCATATGTGGAGCCCCCAGTGGCGCAGTGGGTTAAACCCGCTGAGTTGCTGAACTTGCTGACCAAAAGATCAGCTGTTCAAATCAGGGGAGCAGGGTGAGCTCCCACTGTCGGCCCCAGCTCCTGCCAACCTAGCAGTTCAAAAATAGGCAAATGTGAGTAGATCAGTGGTTCTCAACCTGTGGGTCCCCAGATGTTTTAGCCTTCAACTCTCAGAAATCCTAACAGCTGGTAAACTGGCTGGGATTTCTGGGAGTTGTAGGCCAAAACACCTGGGGACCCACAGGCTGAGAACCCCCTTATATGTTGTTGATTTTGTACTGTATTTGAACATGTTGGAAGCAGCTTTGGAAAGTAAGAGCACTCCATGCAATTATGCGGGAAGGTAAGAGCACTCCATGCAATTATGCTGACCACATGACCTTGGAGGTGTCTACTGGCAACACC